TCTCCTTTTTACACAATTTGTACTCAGTGCAATCGTAAGTACCTTAAATTACTTGCCCAGCTCCCTTTACTTTGCTTCTTTATACAATGCAGTCTATAGAATTCCTTATTTTAATCACTGTCTAAATAAAATATTCAATTCTCTTGCCCCATTGTCCTTCCACTCCACTCATGTGGCAAAACCTCAACCCTGGATAAATTCAACCATCTTCTCATGTCTATACTAAATGTTAATAAACATAAATGTGGGGTCTCTGGCCTTGATTGGGCTCTCCATACCACCTGCTCTCAGTTTTCTTTTCCATTTTCCATCGTGATTATTTCAAACTTGTTTCATTCTCTTGCAAACGCTGCTCTTTCTCTTTCTCACTTTTAGCAGATAACTTTGCTTCCTGCTTCAGAGGACACAGAAACCACCAAACAAGTCCTTTGATTTCCTCTCAAGTTATAAACCCATTTGGGACTTCCCTGATCGTCCAGTGGTTAAGAATCTGTCTGCTGATGCAGGGGACACAGGTTTGATCCCTGGTCTGGGATGCCGTGGGGCAACTAAGCCCCATGGGCCATAACTACTGAAGAGCCGGCACTCTGCAACAAGAGAAACCATGCCAAAGCTGCACACGGCACCAACACCCAGCGCAGCCAAAAAAAAAACCATTTGGATCTCTGTTCATCCTCCCTTTCTTCCTCCTGTTACAGTGGACTGATCTCCTGATTAACGCCAGCCATTTTCTGAGTCCTAAACCTGCCCTTTTGGAGACTTTCCCACCAGTATTCAAACATACATAACTCGGTTCCATATTCTCTTCTTTTTGAAACCAGACTTTTTGGAAAGTGTTATCTACAGTCACCATTTGCTCATCTCATATGCCCTCCTCAACTCACTCCCATTCACCATCCCATGGCATGTTATCTAGGAAGCAATGTGTTTTCTGCCCTTCATTGGAACTACTCTTATTAAAGTCTCCAATCACCTTAAGGTTGCTAAATTTAGCACTTTTTATCCCTTATTTTGTTTGACTCATTGGTAGCATATGATACTCTTGACTACTTCTTTCCTGAAACACTCTTTAATCTGGCTTCTGTAACACACACGCTTTTGACTTTTCTTCTATTTCTCTAGCTATTTTGTCTCAGTTGCCTGTTGGAAGTACTCCTTTTGTCCATATAGAGAGGTTTTCCTTAGGTTTCTGCCTTTGAGTGTTTTTATCAAGCAACATATGGGAATATATCCATCATATGACTTGTATTACCTATTGATGATCCTCAAATTTGTCTCCATCCCAGGCCTCCAAACCTATCAGTCAAACTATTTGTTGAAAATCCACACATGGTTGTTCCAAAGACACTTGAAAGTCATTGTCTCAAAAGCTGAACTTCTCTCTTCTCTCTCAAAATTATGTGAATGACTCCATCAAACGAGAAAATGAAATCTTCCTTAACCTGTCCTCATACTTAAACTTCTGCCTAGAGGACCTTCTTCCTTACTTCCTATACTCATTAATCCCCGAGTTTCATTGATTCTGCCTCCTCTCAATTTCATCCACTTTCTCCATCCTCAGAAACATCATTTCAGTAACAGCCTCCTAATTGGTCTTGCTACTTTCATTCTGGTACCAACCATCTACTCTCCACACAGCAGGGAGAGTGATTTTTCTAAAGCACAAATCTATGTGTGTCTCTGCCATGTTACTAAATCCTGCAGGAGTTTCCTATTGTCCAAATTCCCTAGGGTAGGCATTCATATTCCCTCAGAATCAGATCCCTGACTTCCTCTTCATTCTCATCTCCTTCCTCATTTCCTTTCTATATACTCTATGCTACGGCACCACTGATGTCACTTTTAGTTCCTCAAACAAATCAAGCTTTTTCTTGCAAATGTCATATCTTCCCTGAAAATTATTCTCCCAACTTTTTGCTTTGCCCTTGATTACTCATACTTCAGGACTCAACTTATCAGTTCCCTTTAAGAATATTTTCTGGTTCATTAGCTAGGCCAGAGCCTCTCCTTTGTGCTCCCATCCGAGACTTCCTTGTTTAGTGATTTATATTCCCCTATCAGGCAATATGCACCGTAACTCCTCTAACGATAGGACCTGTGTCTGTCTTACTTTGTAGCCTCAGCATCCACCTATAGTACCTGGCACATGATAGATAAGCAATTTATTGTTGAATGTGATTGTGTAATGGATCTGAGATAAGTAGGGGCTGTGAAGTGGGGCACAGAAGATAAGCAAAAAGGGAAACATTATGAGAAGAGAAGAGAACATACGGCAGATAAGTGGACTTCTTACCATCCCAGCAATGGCAAGCAGTTTCAACCTAGCTATGGAAACAAGTGGCAGTAAGAAGTCGTTTACAAAGAAGTCCAGTGCCTTTTTCATGGCCAGATTCTCCACCTCCAAATGAATTAAGGCCACAGCCTTGTTCCCTATGGCAAGTATCTCTGCCAATTATCCCAAATCAGCTGGGTGGATTTTCATCAGCTTTGACTACTGATAGCAAATTACACTCTGAGAACAGCATCGAAACATGTATATTACCAAGTGTGAAACAGATCGCCAGTCCAAGTTGGATGCATGAGACAAGTGCTCAGGGCTGGTGCACTGGGATGACCCAGAGGGATGGGATGGGGAGGGAGGTGGGAGGGGGGTTCAGGATGGGGAGCACATGTAAATCCATGGCTGATTCATGTCAATGTATGACAAAAACCACTACAATATTGTAAAGTAATTAGCCTCCAACTAACAAAAATAAAGGGGAAAAAAAAGACTAAAAAAAAAAATTACACTCTGAAAAGCATTCAGATTGGCCATTTCATCTCCAGTGTTACTTATTCACTCTAAATTACCATCTCTTCATCTGTGGCTAATATCTAGATTAACTTGTCTTTCCTCTCAATTCATCTAATAGAATTACCAGGCCTATATCCCTCAAAAGTCTTGTAACACACTATTTTAGTGCTCAAAACTAGACTTATTTTTCTTACTCCTACAACAGACCTACACATTGTGATCTGGCTTCTTGGCTCTTTGCTCCTGTGACCACTATGATACCTGCTCTCCAACACCTCCGTAGTATCTCATTCTGCTTCTGCAACTAAGGCTCATGATTTTGAATCTTAGAGCTCACTATAGACTTAAAACCAGTTTTTAAGAGGACATAAAATTCAGGGGACTGAAACTGGCAAAACAGTCCCTTCTATTCTAGAATAAAGACAAATTTGGCTATATCTAGGCCATATTTTCTCAACTCACTGATAAGGTATCCTTTAGTATGATATATAAGTTAAAATGTCATCTATTTTTCCTTTTGATGATCTAATTCTAGGCTTTTGTCCAGACAAAATTTGATTTCATCTATAGCATTTGTGCCAAAACACAGTAACGCATTTGTCTAAATCTCAAAAGTTTCTGTGCAAGATACTTCTTGATGGGACTTCCCTGGCAGTCTAGTGGTTAAGACTCTGTACTTCCATTGCAGGGGGCCTGGGTTCCATCCCTAGTTGGGGAACAGATTAATGTGGCTGAAAGTGAAGAAGAACTAAAGAGCCTCTTGATGAAAGTAAGAGGAGAGAGTAAAAAAGTTGGCTTAAAACTCAACATTCAGAAAACTAAGATCATGGCATCCAGTCCCATCACTTCATGGCAAATACAAGGGGAAACAATGGAAACAGTGACAGACTTTATATTTTGGGGCTCCAAAATCACTGCAGATGGTGATTGCATACATGAAATTAAAAGATGTTTGCTCCTTGGAAAAAAAGCTATGACAAACCTAGACAGCATATTAAAAGCAGAGACGTTATTTTACCAACAAAGGTCCAGTCTAGTCAAAGCTATGGCTTTTCCAGTAGTCATGTATGAATGTGACAATTGAACTATAAAGAAAGCTGAGCACAGAAGAATTGATGCTTTTGAACTGTGGTGTTGGAGAAGACTCTTGAGAGTTCCTTGGACTGCAAGGAGATCCAAATCAGTCAATCCTAAAGGAAATCAGTCCTGAATACTCATTGGAAGAACTGATGCTGAAGCTGAAACTCAGATACTTTGGCCACCTGATGCAAAGAACTGACTCATTGGAAAAGACCCTGATGCTGGGAAAGACTGAAGGCAGGAGGAGAAGGGGATGACAGAGGATGAGATGGTTGGATGGCATCACCAATACAATGGAAATGAGTTTGAGTAGGCTCTGGGAGTTGGTGATGGACAGGGAAGCCTGGTGTGCTGCAGTCCATGGGGTTGCAAAGAGTCGGACACGACTGAGTGAGTGAACTGAACTGCGCAACCAAATATAAAAGATACATTGGCTGGAAAAGTAGAAACACAAGAGTTACAGAGCAAGATTAACAACAGTGAAAAAAAAAGAAAAAAATTCTCAAAACAATTATCAGATATAATGTTAAATAAAAATAGCAAAAAACAAACCTCTCCGAAAAGTACGATCTTAATTATGTAAAAAATACATACATATTTGTATTAGTTAGTGTTAGTCACTCAGTCATGTCTGACTCTCAGTGATCCCATGGACTGTAGCCCACCAGGCTCCTCTATCCATGGAATTCTCCGGGCAAGAATACTCAGGTGGGTTGCCATGCCCTTCTTCTGGGGATCTTCCCAACCCAGGGATTGAACCTGGGTCTCCTGCATTGCAGGCAGATTCTTTACAGTCTGAGCCACCAGGGAAGCCCCAAATACATGTATATGTACGGGAAAAAAGACAAGAAAGAAAAAATTAGGAAATTAACATTTTTCCATAGTGGAAATTATAGGTTACTATAAACTCCTTATACTTTTCCATGCTTTCCAGATTTTCCAAAAAAGCATATATTTATTTTTAAAAGAAGGAACAAAAGCTTAAAATTGTAATAACATATCAAAAGTCAAGCTTTGGGAATTTTTTGAACTGATTTTTCCATGCACATCATTTGGAAATGAATATCAAAATTATATAATTATACCCCCCAAATAATTAAGGTGACATGAGATTTTCTCCATTTACCAGAGTTCCTCTTCCTCTTCCTTCAGGCTTTGAATATCTACTCCCAAAATTGGTACTTTAGGCACAAGATCTTTACAGGTATTTTCACTTGTAATTAAATTAGCAGCTGCAGTTTTTTTCCCTACAGTAAAATGATTTAATTGCTCAAATTCTTGTAAAAGCATCAAGACCTGTTAAGTAAAAAGACAAATATTCTATTTTGCATACTCTTATATGTGACTGTAAAAAAGTATGTTAATTTCATTACATGCTTAAATGATTATTAGCTTAAATAACATAAACTGCATCCAAATTGAAGTCTTATTCCAATTTAATACTTTGCAGTTGTTACTTAATCTAACCCATTTTTACCATAGGCATAGGAGTGCATTAAGTCCATGGTTTTTAGAAAAGAGGGTATTTTGGGTCTCTGGGATTAGCTTCCTAGAGTGCTGTTTAGGGTTGTGCTCTTTTAACAAGCAAAAAGATGTGTTACCCTATTAGAGCTTTTACATTATTATCACATATTTCTGTTCTCAAGTTTAGAGTGTACTTCATTTATTCAAAAGCAGTAATATACTGTTGCAAGAAAACATTAGAAATAATATTAGCTATACATGACAGAGAACATAAGTCTTCCAATCATATTTTATTTGTTTGGAAACACCTGAACATGTAAAGGCTCCCAGACTATTGTAGTGATTCTCAGATTTTAGCTAATAAGAGCATCACATAAGGAGTTTAAAAAATGCGGTCTCACATCGCCACCTCACTCCTGACATTCAGGTCAGTGGTATGGGCTGGGAAATGGGAATGTGCACTTCAAATAAGTCTCCCAGACAATTCTGATTCCCGTGGATGCTTTGAGAGTCACTGCTCTGCTGTGTAGTTTGGCAAAATATTTACTCAGGTTTTGTTGCTTTGTTTTGTTTTTTGACAAACAGATTCCTTTCCTCAAACGCATATTTTCACGTAAAATGAAAGAATGCCTCCAGAAGGCAGCAGAAAGGGTGGATGGGGGATAGTTCCAAGCATGGAAGATGAATCTCCATTCAAGTATTGCATGAAGAGAGACAACAACCTGTCTGACTCCCATTCTGAGCCTCTCTGAAAATGCAAAGTTTTTATAGTTATTATTAATGTTTGATTCTAAGAACACAATCTAAAGATCAGTTTAAGTTACTTTAATGAATCTTTTTGATCTTCTTGGCCTTTTCAATTTTCTGAAGAAAAACCACAATGTGTGATATGGGTTATAATCCCATAAAGCAATATATATAATCTCATATGGATTATAACCTCTCCAGGGGAGAAATTTGGTCTTACACTGGGCCTTAGGAGGTGGGAAGATACAGACAAGTGAAGAAGAGACTATACAATATTTCAAGCATGATCAATACAGTCAAAGGCATAGTGTGTAAATGAGCAGGGAGTATTTTTGCTCAAGTGAGGAGGATGGTCTTCCTGGAGTAGAGGCTACAAGATGAGGCGCTGAGGAAGTAAGACAAGACTGAGGGGGAGGGATCAGATTATGAAGAGACCTGAAAGAGTAATTTTCTTAACGAACTTGTGTAACTTTTGTGAACAGGAAGACAGATTCCAAAATGCTATATAAGTCACTGATTTTTATAGTCATCGTAAAAATTTAAACATTACAAATAGTCAATGTTAGTTTCTTAAGAAGTAAAGAAAGTCAAACAGAATTTAGACTTAACATTCTAGCAAAGTGAGAATTGCTGACGGTTTCTAAAGTGGAAGGTGACCTTGACACTAAGCACTTTCTAGATATTCTGGATTCTCAAATGACCAAGTCATTGGATATTATAAGTGGTCAGCTTTGCTCTTTATCACGAAGAAAGTTAAGTGCACAGGACCCTTCATGGCACAGATGTTGTGGAAAAGAAGTAACTCTGTTCCAGAGGCTCCTCCCTACTGAAATTTTATCCTGGTGACATAGCTCAATCTCATAACCAGACATGTCGAAGTACCATAAAGCATTCAGTTGATTATTCCACTTTCTGCTTAAGGCCCTAGAGGAGTGAGGACAGAGCTTAGGCTGAGAAACACCAGGCAACTTCGTACTTGTTCATTATTCCAAGTTTGGTGTCCCTATCTGTAAACTGAGGAAGCTGATACACCGTTTTCTGGCTTTAAAATTCTGTGGCCAAAATAAAACAACAGCCTATAAAACAAGGGATTTAATAAATACATAAAATACAATTTTTAGTCACTCTTAGCAAGACTCGGAGAAGGCAATGGCACCCCACTCCAGTATTCCTGCCTGGAAAATCCCATTGACGAAGAAGCCTGGTAGGCTGCAGTCCATGGGGTCGCTAAAAGTTGGACACGACTGAGCGACTTCACTTTCACTTTTCACTTTCATGCATTGGAGAAGGAAACGGCAACCTACTCCAGTGTTCTTGCCTGGAGAATCCCAGGGACAGGGGAGCTTGGTGGGGTCTATGGGGTCGCACAGAGTCAGACACGACTGAAGTGACTTAGCAGCAGCAGCCACAGAAAATAATTAAAGAATCAAAGTTTCAAAACTGAAACTTTTAATAAGTAAAAGTTTGATGGGAAATAGAATACCCATAGTCTCAAAGTGCCTCCCCACAGGTAGTTTTTAATTGCAAAGGGAATTGTAATAAATTTATAGTGGAGAAATCCAACAGATAATACCTTACCCAAAATAAATAGAACAAAAGGGCATCCTTTTTTGTTCTGACACAATGCACTGAGAAGGATACAGCATCACTTCTGCAGTATTCTTGCCAAAATTATGTAATCTAAATTATATTGTGAGGAAACATGAGAAATACCCAAATTGAGGGACATTCTGGAAAACAAATGATTTTGTACTCTTTAAAGAGAGCAAAACCATGAACAACAAAGAATGAGGAACTGTTGCAGATTCAGGGAGCTTTAGAGATATGACAGTTAAATGCAATGTACGGTCCTGGATTGGACCTTGAACTAGGGAAAAAAATGTCTTTTGCTATAGAGTGGGACAATTGGTGAAATTTGAATAAGAGCTGTAGATTACAGTACTATATTAATATTAATTTCCTGATTTTGAGACTTGTACTGTGACAAAAAGATGTCACTATTTTTAGCAAACATATGGAAACATTGGGGTTAAAGGAGTATTAAGTCTCCAACTCACTCCCAGGGTTCAGGAAAAAAGTGTGGATCTATGTGTGTAGAGCAAGAGTGAGAGAGATTGATAAAACCAAATATAGTACCATGTTAACATTTGGAAGGGTAAAAGTATATGGAGAATCTTTATACTATTTTGCAACTTTTCTATAAATCTGAAATTATTTCAAAATAAAAATTTCTTTAAAAGAGAGGGAGAGAAAGTCCCATTATCAGGAGTGTGATCTGGATCTCTGGCTTTATATTATATTCTTCTCACTTCCTTTCATCCTTTATGTTAGGTTTTCTTATGATACTTTGAGAAACAAGGTCCTTTCGTCGTATACTGTGATGAAAATGCATCTTGCTGACAAGGTCCCACAAACAAAGCTGAGATGTAGGCTGTGCCAACATATTACCCTATTGGCTGGAACTTTCCCTCCCTAGGTCACATGCTACTTGATCTGTGCCCCAGTTCCTCAGCAACTTACTCTGTGATTTCAGAGTAACAATTTCAGATAGGATAAACTAGGCCTTGATTTAGTCATTTACCTCACATGTTGCATTAAAATGTAAATCAACATATTTTAACCATTGTGTTCAGGCCTTTAGTCCTTCCTACCATCTTAATCAACATAAGAGAGTAACCGAGGGTGGGAATTTTTAGCCAGGAGTTGGTGATAGCCTAACAGGTAGAACTCTGGAAATTACACAGCTGACAACCTCTCCGTTTAGTGTTGCACTGACCCTAATCTGGCAGTGCCATTATTATATTTGGGGAATTTGCTGGCGTTGGGACATTTCACCATTTTCCTAATTCTAAGTTCAGTATAATTAGAAAAGATGCTTTCAGTTTTTAAAGTTGAAGACATTTTAGTAAACCTCTGTTTGTTTTTGCTTTTTTTTATTGTGATAAAATGTATAAAACAAAATTTACCATCTTAACCATTTTTAAGTGTACAGTTCAGTGGTATTAAATATATCCACATTGTTGTGCAACCACTGCCACCATCCAACCCCATAACTCTTTTCATCTTGTAAAACAAACTCTGTACTTATTAAACAACAACTCTCCAATTCTTACCTCCCCACAGATCCTGGTAACCACCATTCTACTTTCTGTCTTTATGATTTTTGCTTACTCTAAGTACCTCATGTAAATGAAATCAAATAATTTTTCTGACTGGCTTATTTCACTTAGCATAATGCCCTCAAGGTTCATCCATGTTGTAGCATGCTGCAGAATTTCCTTCTTTTTAAGGCTGAACAATATTTCATTATATGTATATACCATGTTTTGCTTAATCATTCATTCACAGATGGCCACTTGGGTTGCTTCTACGTTTTAGCTATTGTGAATAATGCTGCTTTCAATGTGTATGTACAAATATCTGTTTAAGTCTTTCTTTTGCATATAAGCAGAATTTCTGGGTTATATGACAGTTCTGTTTTTAAGTTCACCTTTGACATTATGTTATGGCTCCGCTGGTGGCTCAGACAGTAAAGAATCCGCCTGCAACGCAGGAGACCTGGGTTTGATCCCCGTGTTGGAAGACCCCCTGGAGGAAGGCGTGGTAACCCACTCCAGTATTCTTGCCTGGAGAATATCACGGACAGAGAAGCCTGGTGGACTTCAGTCCATGGGGTCACAAAGAGTCGGACATGACTGAGCAAATAAGTACAGCACAGCACGTGCTCTAAAAACTAAGCCATTGGGAAGCTTCTTTAAACTAAAAAATTCATAGGTCAATCCTAAGAGTAAAGTCCTGGCTGAAGTCTGAATATTTACCTGAAATACAGCTTGATTTATAATCCACACCATGTGGCAATTTGTTCTATAATAATAAAAGAAACTCTGATTTCCAAGTCAACTCTTACTGAAATTAATTTCCTTTTATGTCATCTTCATAAAAGACAGGTCATATATAGAACATTTAAATACTAAATAATTCAATCTCACCTTTGTTTCTAATTCAGAATTCTCTCTTTGTAGCAGGTCATGTGCTATTAACAAATGGTCTCTGTGTTCTGCTGCACCTGGAAGACTTCGAATTTCATGACAAAGGTATGTAAGTTCTGACTTTGATTTTTGCAATTCCTGATTAAGAAATGACAATATTCAGTAGAACAAAACAAGGCTTTCCATAGAAAATGTATACTACTGCTAGAAAAGGAATCTTTGAAATGATTCTGACAACTTTAAATATTTTAATTTATCCTCTGGCAGACAAATTTCTTTCTCTATTATAGTTAAAGAAAAGATTCCTTAAGTCAAAAATTAAGCATTCCTTTTCTAAATTTGTCTTTCTCTTTTAATCTTCTTCCTGCTAAAACAAAAACAAAAACAAAAACCACCCAGAAATTTAACACGAGGAAGCACAAAGAGCCAAGGCAAGCAAGCCCAAGAGAGAGCCCAAGGCTCCTTCTCATAGGGGGCCTATGTCTGGGCACTGGGGTCTTCACGCAGAGCCTGGCAGTACAAGCTAGTACAGAATAAGGCAGTTCCAGAAGCTAGCAGCAACTGGCCCAGAGGGGGTTTCTATCTAGGGACAACCCTAACAAGGCCAGGCTGTGTAAGAAGTGGTACTTGTTGGCCTTGTTAAAGAGCTCTTCTCCACAGGCATCAGGGAATTGGGCTCTATAGGGTCTGTAGGAGGCCAAGTCTAAGGCCCCAGCTCTGGACTAGGTGCCCAGGCAGTGGAAAGCAGTCCTGAACCAGTCATGGCTATGAAGGGTCAAGTGCCATTGGCATTCTTAATATCTATCATTTACAGGTTCAAAGACTGGGCTTCTATTTATCTCCACTTTATACAAGGTGTATAGAGAGAAATTCTTCAGCAATTCCTGCATTAGTTATATTACCTGCTTTAAAATGTATTCTTTTACAGTTACTTTTTTATAGGTCAGGTGCTATGTTGTTTACCCTTAACCTTATGACAACCCCATGAGGTAGGGTTATTGAAACTGAGGCTCAGAGAATGTAAATGATCTGCCTAAATTCACATAGCCGGGAAGTGATAAAGCTGGGATTCAAACTCACTGACTTCAACCACCGCTCTTCACGACAAATTATGCTGTCTTACTTAATGCATATTCAGTGACTTAACTAGGGATTCCTCTAATCCTCTGATTTTTTTCCATATTCATGAGAGAAAATACTTTAGTTAGATGTAGATTTTTATTAAATTTCTGCATTGATGACATAAAATATGCAGCATTTGATTGGTGGATGACAGGGCCTGAGAGCCAGGCTGTGGTGTAGCTCCCTATAAAGGGAGCAGATAACATAAAATTTACTTTATGATGTTTCCCAGGTGGTGCTAGTGGTAAAGAACCTGCCTGCCAATGCAGGAGACATAAGAGAAACAGGTTTGATCCCTGGGTTGCGAAGATCCCCTGGAGAAGGGCATGGCAATCCACTCCAGTATTCTTGCTGGAAAATCCCATGGACAGAGGAGCCTGGCAAGCTATAGTCCATAGGGTCACAAAGAATCAGACACAACTGAAGCAACTTCGCACAAAGCCTGCAATACTTGTTACTATTCCCAAAGGCTTGAGATCAGAAAGGGAGGAAAGTGTTGATGAGGAGAGAAGGTAGGGAGTGGCCATCCAAAACCATAGAAAAGGGCAAGTGCTATCAGTGCCCTACCTCATTCCATGGAAAATTCCTACTGGTCACCAGCACGAGGGAGAAAGCAATGGCACCCCACTCCAGTAGTCTTGCCTGGAGAATCCCAGGGACGGGGGAGCCTGGTGGGCTGCAGTCCATGGGGTCGCATAGAGTCGGACATGACTGAGTGACTTAGCAGCAGCACGAGATTTAGGGCACTGTGCCTAGCTCTCACCCACCCTGCAAACTGATTGTCACCATCCTCTGAATTAATGATCTAGACTTCCATGAACTCACTTCCAGGTCTCTCTTCCAAATATAGGCTGGTATGTCTCCTGATAGACCTTTCCAAGATGGTATGACCAGCAGTTAAAAGGAGAGACAAGTCTGGGACTCTACAACCATCATAACAATCAAATCCCTTCTACTTAAAGGACTCTTTTTGGCTAGTGTTGGAACTCAGCCTGGAGAAACAACAGCCACCCTATTATTCCTAATACAAATAATATTCTATAGCTATAATTTATTTTAAAATAAAAATAAATAATATGAAACCCCTAAATTACAAACGCAAAAAGAGGAAAATAACATCCTAAATGGCAAAATACCTCACTTTCAACTTCCAAAGCTCTCTGCTCAGTATTAAGATTAGCTGTCAACTGCTTTTTTCTTTCTCTCTCTTCTGACAACTCAGTTTCAAATATTTCAATTTTTTCTTGGCTCATTTTCAATATCTGCAAAAAGTATTTTAGATAATTAATTCTATATATTCAATACAATAATCACGTATCTTATACTTTGACAATACTTTTCTGCCCAACTCAATTATAAAGTCATATGGGGAGAGACGAACCTGGCAAAACTAATTCATGGTACCATAGCTCATAAGATGGGTTTTTCTCTCTAAGCCCCTTTTTCTCAGCTGTAAAATGGAACTAATACTTGTCCTACGTACACTATAGCCGTAACAGTAGGAGTCATCCTTACAATTTCAATATACTAGTTTATTCTAAATACAGTTTTAAAGGGCTCCTTCCTGAATGACTAATCCTGGAAGGTTTTCTATAACCACTGATCACGATCATAGGATGTAAATTTACCATTCTTTTCGCCTACTTTTGGGACTTCTCTCATAGTTCAGTTGGTAAAGAATCTGACTGCAGTGCAGGAAATCAGAGGTTGATCCCTGGGTGGGAAAGAACCCCTGGAGAAGGAAATGGCAAACCACTCCAGTATCCTTGCCTGGAAAATCCCATGGACAGAGGAGCCTGGTAGGCTGCAATCCATGGCGTTGCAGAGTCAGGCACAACTCAGCAACTAACACTTCGCCTATTTTCAGTAATTCTTAAACATCCTTATAGAGTCTGCCTCATCTGTATTACAAAATGTAACTGAAAATGACCTTTTAATTTCTTACATCATTCAAATCTTGTACTTTCACTGTCTCTTGACCTTTCATACTGGTTTCTCATCTGTCTTCCTATCTGATAAGTCAGGCTCCAAGAGGGAAATCTTAATCCAAATAAACCATAAGCTAAAATACATACATATATTTGCTATTTTTTAAAAATGCTGAAAAGATAAGCTACATTTCTTAAGAATCTCTTCCGGAGGCTACAGCCTTGAAAACTACCCTACCAGCAATTCCATCTTTTATCCAGTCTTGGGTCCTTTGGAGAGTTGCTTTAAGATATATTTCAGTCCTTGCTCTGTTTGGCAACTTAACCAAAGGGAACAAGCCCTATTAGAAAAACATGCTACAGAATCCTGATGATTCTGAATTAAACAAGTTGATAATTTACCTTATTTTTTTAACTTTTCTTTTTCATCAAACTTTAAACTTTTTATTTTGTATTGGGGTATAGCCAATTAACAATGTTGTGGTAGCTTCAAGTGAACAGTGAAGGGACTCAGCCATACAGATACATGTATCCATTTCCCCCAAACCTTCTCCCGTCCAGGATGTCACATAACATTGAGCAGAGTCCCATGTACTATACAACAGGTCCTTGCTGGTCATTCATTTTGAGTTTAGCAGTGTGTACGTGACTGTCCAAAACTCCCTAATTATTCCTGGTTAGTGCTGATTGGCCCAGTAATAAAATTAAATGCAAAGGAGGTTTATGAGTATTTAGATATAATTTAGAAACAGGAGACACCAACATTGATATTACTTATTACTATTATTCAGAATTAGGTTTCAACAGAAACTTCAACTTGAACTTTTCAATTCAGAGATAAAAATATTCCTTTGCTAGGCTGAAGAAAGGAAATAATTGATTTGTATCTAATCAAATTTTGGGGAAAGTATTCTGGAGTTTGCTTATATTCCCAGGTTCATAATTTACTGCAAGACTGTATTAACTTAACCTACAGATTAAAAAAATAAATCCATTAGTTTAGTAAAGTTGGTTATCAATAATTTATCTTCCTCATGTTAAATATCAATAAAATAGAAATATTAATAGAAATTCAAGATTGATGAGTTGGGAAAAATGGGGAATGCTACTGGAAAAATGGATGCTGAAACCTAAGTGTAAGCTTTTACATGTCCTCCTACCTAGTGGTATGGACAAAAGATCTATCAAAGAATCATGCTGACTTCCTAGCAGAAATGCACAGGATACAGGGAAGAATATATTTTATCCCAGGTCAGCTTCTCCCTGCTCATCAGCTACCATCTGCACTGATTAATGTTTCTGTACATCCACACATGACATGCTGATGCATTCAACACTCAAGAGTCTACTTAGCCCTGCCCTTACACCGCCTGAGATGACCGAGTGCCAAGTGCAGAAAATGTTTTCAACTCTTAAAAATGAACGCTCCGCCCATTTCTTCTGTGTTTTCTCTATACAAGAATGCCATGTACTTTAATGCTATAACTTCCAAGAGAGAGCTTTTCAAAAGGATATATACTTGAAATTTACCATAATTTGTGGCATACTAAATACAGCCATACATTTAGGTGATTTATGTATTTCATGAGACTGATGATCAAAGTTTAAAGCAGAAAAACACAGGAAAGGGGCCACAATACTGTGAGAAATAAGCAATGGACATAGCGATCCCTAGGCAACTGAAGGGAGCCTGCCTCACCTGTCAGCCAGCAGTAAGCAGAGGAGAACGAACAGACTTCTAGGGGATCGCCTCACTGGCACAGGGTAGCTGCCAACAACTCTTGAGAACAGTGTAACAGCTCAGAATCTCCCACTTGCAGTGTTCTACTATCTGAAGGGTGGGGGCCGTCTGACACTCTGAGCCAAACTGTGCCCCCCAGGCACCGTATGACAAGAGCGACCGCGAGCCTCCACCTCCTCGCCCGCCACGTGCTTATGTCATGCTGTCCTCTCTCACGGGCACAGTCAAAGGAGATGGCGGATGCAGGCCCTGCAGAGAAAAAAATGCTGCAGGGTCATCACCTCCAGATAGGGACGTGCTCAGTGCTGGCTGTGCTGTAGACCCCGTGAATTATAATATGCTCCCTCTATGAATCCTCACAAGAGTTGGTATGAGGTAGAAAATGGTCTCAAAGGCCAGACAGACCTGGATCAATTCCTGGTTGTGCCTCTTACTTTATCAAGTTCCTCTACTCAAGTGTGAAACAGAACATACCTACTTACCTCGGGGAGGACTGTTATAAGGATTATATAAGGTTATGTGAGTAAAACAAGATCACACATATGACAGATGATAAATACATCATGACTACTTTTTATTCCTGCAAGATACCTAGCTTTTCTTCCATTTTAAGCATCTTCTGGGATCTCCCTGGTGGTCTAGTGGCTAAGACTTCATGCTCCCAATGCAGGGGGCCAGGCTTAGTCCCTGGTCAGGGAACTAGATCCCACATGCTACAAGTAAGAGTTCACATGCTGCAACTAAGCATTTTCTTTGAGAACATGGATACTAGCAGCACTAAGAATCTGTCTGCATGTAAAAATGGATAAAGAACATAGTCATATATGGAGGAGTCTGTCTGACTTAAGGGAGTGGTTTTCTAAATTATTTGTCCTTTTGAAGTTACAGGGCTTCCTGCCTTTTATCTTCAGAAGAATTCTTATGGAGAAACTACAGAGTGTCCACAAATGGAGGCGTCTCTGGCTGATGTGGAGGTAGAAGACCTAGAGATTTGCACCTACGAACAGCAAGAATCTCTGAAACACAGTTTGGAAATTATAGTGGCAAAAAAAAAAAAGAGCTTTGTAGTCAGCTGAAATCTGAAATCTTGACTTCTACATTTGTGCATCTGTGATCTTGGTTTCCTCATCTGTAAAGGAAGGTGAACAATATTTAAGCTCTCCAAAGGCTTGCTAACCTTAAGTGAATTATGTCAACCCCCCCACTCCCAGTGAAGTCACTGAAACATTATAGGTACTCAAATATTAGTTTCTATCCCTTTACTTACTTTGTGTAGGACACAGAAAATAAAGTCGCTAGAGGTCAGGATAATTGCATGAGACACTGAGTACCTGGCATCTTCCCTGGCAGCTCAGCTGGAAGAGAATCCACCTGCAATGCAGGAGATCCCAGTTCGATTCCTGGGTTGGGAAGATCCTCTGGAGAAGGGAAAGGCTAGCCATCCCAGTATTCTTGCCTGGAGAATTCCATAGACAGAGAAGCCTGTCAGGCTACAGTTAATGGGGTTGCAGAGTCAGACACAACTGAGTAACTTTCACTTTCCCAACACCTGTCTGAAAGATGAAGATCCATGACAAGGAAAGCAAGGCACTAGGTCAAAAGCTGGAAATGAGCTCAAGGAAAAGTGCTGCTATTGTCTCCCTACTGATTACAGTACACAGTTCCCTTCATTCCCCTACTGAGAAGGACCCTTGAGTTAATAGTTATTGATATCCATCCAGCTAAACATAATCAAGGAAGCTTGAGGTTTTTTCTTCATGAAAGATTAAGAGAGAACTTTGAAAGCAAAAATCTGTTTATAGTTACATCCTCTTTCCTCAGGAAATGACTTTAAAAATCATTTAAGTATAATTGACTACTTATTTCTTAAGTAACTTCTCTAATTTTAGAGACCTTCTACTTTATAGAGAAGAAGCATTTACTTACAGTGTTCCTCAGTGCCCCTTTCCAGCTGGCTCTGGGTGGGATGAAGTAGGTGAGAGGATCAGTGAGAGTAGATATAAAGTTTTATTATTTTAGAAACCCACACATAATTCAAGCCTTAATGACCAGGAAAAGAAAACTGGTTTCTATCATAGCCTAGACAATTGAGATGAGACAGAAAAAATTTTCCAATACTTTAGGGATAAAAACTGTATGATCTTCTTTTTGGCACATCTTTTAAAATAAGATAGATTCTTATTTATCCAGAATGTCATAGACAACATCTATCATAGAGGAAGGTAGATTAACCAATTATTCTACAAGGGTCTTCTCTATTGTCAAGAATTCCGTGATACAAAGGGCCACAAGGTATCATAACTCACTTCAAGAAAGAACACGCCACATTCTTTCCAGGCAGCCTCCAGTGAATGACTGAGCACAGTGAAAATAAAGCCTGGCCATTTCTGGCCAAGTGTGGATCCTCTACATGTTATTACTGTGCCAAAGCCCCCTGGTGGCCTGGGCTAGACTTCTCAGGGCTGCAAGATAGTCTTAGGCTCTTCTTAACCAATTTTCCTGCTTTTTCTCTTTTCTTGAACAGCTGTGAGAACTATATTATGACCCGAAGGTTTTGCCTGTCCATGTCTACTCCTTCCTTTTATCCTTCACAGGTATCACCCCTGTGAAGGACAACTCTTGTAATTCTAAGTTCATCTTGGTGTTGCTTCCTAGAGCAGCCTCCGTCAGGTTGACTTATGAATGACAGAACAAGGGATGGGCCACAAACATGGTCACCATTAAAAACAAAAGAAAAGGATGATCTGATTAAAGACATAGATATAAATATCCAACAAACTCAGTGAGCTGCAAGACGGATAAACTCAAAGAGACCCACGCTGAGACACAGCAGAATCATACTACTAAACGACAAAGACAGAAATAATCTTGAAAGCACAGCAAGACAGAAGTGACTTGTCATATACAATGGATCCTCAATGAGATCAGCAGATTTCTCATTAGAAGCTTTAGTGACCAGAAGGCAGTGGGCTGATATATTCAAAATGTTGAAAGAAAAAAAACCTGTCAACTAAGAATCCCATATCCAGCAAAACTGTCTTTTCAAGAGTGAGGAAGAAATGAAGACATTCACAGATCAACAAAAGTTGAGAGACTTTGCTACCACTAGACCTGCCCCTATGAGAAATCCTAAAGGGACTCATATAGAGTGAAATCAAAGGATACTAGACAGTCACTCAAAGCCATATGAAAAGATAAAGATCACAGTAAAGGTAAATATAGGAGCAATTATAAAAGCTAGTACTAATGCGACAATGGCTTGCAACTCTACTTTTTGTTTTTTACATGATTTAAAAGATTAATACATCATATTAAAATTACATATGCTATGACACTGATGAAATTTGAAGACATCATGCTAACTGAAGTAAGAAAGTCACAAAAAAACAAACACTGTATGATTCCATTTAAATGAGGTACTCAGAGTAGTCAAAACCATAGAGAAAGAAAGTAGAATGGTGGTTGCCAAGGCTGGGAGGGAAAGGCAGAATGAGGAGTGTTAGGGAAATTAAATAAATACTCTTGTTTAGGCTTCAAGACAAAGCAGGGAAGGCCTCTGACCTTGTTTTAAACCTTTAAACCTTTAAATCTTTTAAAACCTGCTTGGACACTGCCTGGACTGGGAGTGACTGCCTGCTGTGAGTGCAAAACTTGCAGCACCATAGACAAGATGGGGGAAGAATCTTGAGATTGTTGAGCCCCTGAAGGGGGCCTGGCTAACCAAGCCCTAGGCTTCAGTTCAGTTCAGTTCAGTTGCTCAGTCATGTCCGACTCTTTCAGACCGCATGAACTGCAGCACGCCAGGCTTCCCTGTCCATCACCAACTCTTGGAGCTTACTCAAACTCATGTCCATCAAGTCAGTGATGCCATCCAACCATCTCATCTCAGGCTTAGCAACTTCCAAGTTTTACAAAACAAAACAAACAGCATTAATAGGAAACCAGGCTCGCAATGTGGTCACAGACTGATGATGATACCAGTTTGCATCCGTCCTGGGATTATAAGTGGGAACCCTGAACTGCAATCTCTGAAGTCTCACCCATGGAGCCAGCATGCTGCCTAGGACCCTTTCCCAATTGGGGCTCCAGATGTGCTGTGACACAGGACTTCCCAGTGCTGTTTAAGTCTGGATGTTGGTCAAAACCGAATTTGGTGATGTATTCTCTGCTCTTTCTATTTCTCTTTTCTGTTAATGTTACTATGTTGAAAGTAAGCTAGATAATTCTCTAACATATTTCTGTATTATTTATTTGTATATAATGAGTGGCTTATTTTGTTAACAAATCCTTTGAATCTGAGATGAAAGTGAAAACTTTTGGCAAAAAAGGAGTTATTGTTTAATGGGTATAGAGTTTCAGTTTTGCAAGATGAAGAAAGGTCTAGAGGTGGATGGTGGTGAAGACCCTGATGCTGGGAAAGATTGAGGGCAGGAGGAGAAGGGGACGACAGAGGATAAGATGGTTGGATGGCATCACCGACTCAATGGACATGGGTTTAGGTGGACTCTGGGAATTGGTGATAGACAGGGAGGCCTGGCGTGCTGCAGTTCATGGGGTTGCAAAGAGTTGGACACGACTGAGTTACTGAACTGAACTGAACTGAATATCACTGAACTGTACATTTAAAAATCTTTAACAAGGTAAATTTTCTGTTTTATGTACTTTACTACAGTAAAGAAAAAATAGAAAAAAAATAAGTAAAACAAAGACTTTTGCAGACAAACAAAATCAGAAAGCTTATCACTATATCTGCACTAGAAGAAATGTTAATCAATGTTCTTTGGGCTGAAGAAGTATGGCACCAGATGGAAATGTGGACCTGTGTAAGGTAATGATGAGCTCAAGAAATGGCCAATGAGCATAAGAAAATACACTCAGTATCATTAGTCAATCAGGAAATGCAAATCAAAATTATACTGAGATATTACTTCATACCCACTAAGATGGCTATAATAAAAGAGACAAAATGTAACAAGTGTTGGTAAGACATGGAGAAACTTGAGCGCTCATACACTGCTGGTGGGAATGTTAGATGGTACAACTGTTTTGGAAAATAGTCTGGCAGTTCTATGAAAAGTTAAATATAGAATTAATATTTGACACAGCAATTCCACTCCTATGTACATATTGAAGAAAAATGAAAAATTGTTCACACAAAATTTTGTACATGAATGTTCATACCAACATTATTCATCACAAAGTGGAAGACAATCTGACAGTTTCTTATAAAGTTAAACATGCACTTGCTCTGTGATTCAGTAATTCCACCGCTAGGTATTTATCTAAGAGGGAAAAAAAACCAGACTGGTATGTGAATACTAGTAGCAGCTTTTTAATAATAGCTGAAAACAACCTGACTATTAACCAGTGGCTAGATAAACAATGCATCATATATCTATATATACAGGAATATTACTCAGCAGTTTAAAAATGAACTACTTATACAGGAAACAACATGGATAAATCTCAAAAGCATTATTATATTAATAAGTGAAAGAAGCCAAACACAAGAGTATATACTAGATGATTCTATTTATTTAAAATTCTAGAAATGGTATGGTCATAGAAAGTGGCAGAGTGGGAGGCACTGATAGCAAAAGGTGAGGGAACATTTTAGGTTAACGAATATCTTATTTTCTTGATTGCAATGGTTGTGGTTATACAGATGTATGCATTTGTCAAAGCTCATTGAACTTAACTCTTAAAATATGTATGTTTATACTGTATTAAATATTTTAATGAAGTTAATTTTATAAAAGAAACAAATAAGTTTTAAACATTTGAAAAATGCTCAATCTCACTACCACTAGATGATTGAAACAAAAACTACACTGAGATACCCACTCTCATTTGCATAAACATTTGCATGTTAACTAAATGCAAATATTTGACAATATATTCAGTTAGTGAATCTTTGGGAAACTATCTTTCTCATACACTGCTGAGGGAAAAGGAAAATGATGCAATTTCCACTGAGCAGTATCTGGCAACATTGACCAAAATTACTGATGCATCTACACTCTAACCTTATAATCCCATTTTTGTGACTCTAATGCTAGCTGCTTTAAACAATGAGGGAGATCTCTTTGTATGATATGGAAGGATCTCCAGAGGCATTTTAGTAAAAAAAGAAAAAAAAAGGAAGGAAAGGAGGAAATCTGAATAAATAAGAGGAAATCTGAATAAATATTCAAAATGCTTCTATATGAATAAAGATATACTAGAAGGATAAATAAGAAGTTAATTAAGTCAACTTCAAATCAAAGTGCCACCATTCTGGGTTGCCTGGGAGAAATTCTGATAGACAATCTGAAACCTTGCCTGGAAATTCCTTCTTCCGTTCCTTCCTCCTTTTCTTTCCTCCCTCCAGCACCCTCCTTCCTTCATTCTTTTCTTCCTCCACCTTCTTTCCTTCCTACCTTTCCTTCTTTCCTTCATTCCTACAAAATGCATCGTTACCTGGGAAAGAATTTTGGAAGACAAGAAGAACATTGGCTCCTTGGATAGGGCATCAAGAAATCCGGTGGCTATAATTTCCTTGATACCGAGGAGGTGGCGGGTATAGGGCCCAGGGAGTTACAGTAAAAAAGACAAGTTCCAGTGAAGGAGACCCCTCAGCAACAAGGAACGTTACTCATCTTAGGCGTACAAGAGAGAGGCTGCAGCAAAACCACCTCTCTGAGCTCAAAGTCTGAAACCACCCTCTCTGTGACACACTGGCTCTTGCTACAATCTGCCTCGTGTTTGATCATTTTGACCACCACTTCAGAGGCTGACTGTGCTGAAAAGACTGCAGGCTGTACACACTGGAGCCTAAACCACACTACTTCTCTCTGATATGTGGTTCCCACTACCCCTCCCCTACCACTGGTTGCCTCTACAAAGCAACTTCATTTTGATGATTAAAAATGCCCATACTGGTTGTATTTTTGTAGGATTCTTTTTTCTTTATCAAAACCCATTATATTTTTCATATTAATCATTCCCTGTGGGGAGGAAGTGAACAGAAACATATCCTATCCTCTGTACTCAAATTTCTTTCTCCACACTCTGGCAAAGCAATAGGAAATGGCAGGCAAGAAAAGAGTAGCCTGTGCTCAGCACCCAGTGCTCTGGTGCACTGTGTAAAATGCAGCTCACTTCAAAATGAGAAGTCAGAAATTACAGAACTTTAATACCTCTACTTTCTGTTCAGTACCCACAGTTTTTCCAGGAGAGTGGTTTCCAAGATGCTTATTCTGTTGAGAGTCACACGTTCCTCTTTTAAGTCGTTCAACCTGAAATACAAAAGCATTTTAAATACACAGTGCGGGGGGGGGGTTGCTTTATTTTAAAAATATATAGGTTATACATGAATACATTTTTTGTGAAAAATTTAAACATATAGGTATATAGAGTAAAAAACGATCTTTTCCTTCACATAACTTTGCCCCACAATTCCATTTCCCTCTCCGGAACTAACAATGTTTGGGATATACTCTTCCTGAACTTTATCTCACATGTATGTATGTGTGTTGTTGTTCAGCTGCCCAGTCACGTCTGACTCTTTGCATGTGCATATTTTTATATATATATTACCCCCCCCTTTGGGGGTGGGGGAGGTTTCCCTGGTGGCTCAATTGGTAAAGAATCCTCCTGCAGTGCAGTAAACCCAGGTTCAATCCCTGGGTAGGGAAGATCCCCTGGAGAAGGTAATGGCTACCCACTCTAGTATTCTTGCCTGGAGAATTCTATGGACACAGGAGACTGATGGGCTCCAGTCCATGGGGTTAAGAAAGAGCTGGACATGACTGAGCAAACATATATAAATATATATGTGTATATACAGAACATACACAAACATGTTTAACATACATTGAATATATTTTATCAGTATTATATGTACAAATTTATAGAGATTTAGACAACTTGAACAGTGTTTATTCATTCTTATGATTGCATTTTAAAATTATGATAAAATATACATAACACAAAATTTACCATTTTAACCATTTTTAAGTATATAGCTGAGAAGCACTAAACACATTCACATTATTGTGTAACCGTCACCACCACCCATCTCCAGAGTTCTCATCTTGCAAAACTGAAACTCCGTAAACATTAAGCACTAACTCCTCATGCTGCCCTTCCCCACAGCCCCTGGAAACCACCATTCTACTTCATGTCTCTGTGATGCTTCACTACTTTAGGTACCTCATATAAATGGAATCATACACTATTTGTCTTTGTGTGACTTGTTTATTTTAAGTAGCATAATGGCTTCAAGTTTCACCTATGTTGTAACATATGGTAAAATTTCTTTTCTTTTTAAGGAGCTATTTTATATATATATACACACACACACATACATATACACCATACTTTGTTTATCCATTCATCTGTCAATGGATACTTGAGTTGCTTCAACATTTTGGCTATGAACATGAGTGAATAAATCTCTGTTCAAGTGCCTGCTTTCAATTCTTTTGGGCATATACCCAGAAGCAGAACTGCTGGTAACTCTATGTTTAATTTTTAAAGGGAGTACATACTGTTTTCAAGTGTGTCTGTACCATTTTACATTCGTAACAATATAGAAAGGGTTCAAATTTCTCAACACCCTCATCAACACTTGTTATTTTTTATTGTTTTGATAATAGCCATCCTAATGAATTACTCTTTTTTTAATTTATTTTTTTCCATTTATTTTTATTAGTTGGAGGCTAATTACTTCACAATATTGTAGTGGGTTTTGTCATACATTGACATGAATCAGCCATGGATTTACATGTGTTCCCCACCCCAATCCCCCCTCCCACCTCCCTCTCCATTCCATCCCTCTGGGGGATGAGCACTTGCCCTGAGCACTTGTCTAATGCATCCAACCTGGGCTGGTGATCTGTTTCACCCTTGATAGTATACTTGTTTCAATGCTATTCTCTCAGAACATCCCACCTCACCTTCTCCCACAGAGTCTAAAAGTCTGTTCTGTACATCTGTGTCTCTTTTTCTGTTTTGCATATAGGGTTATCATTACCATCTTTTTAAATTCCATATATATGCATTAGTATACTGTATTGGTCTTATCTTTCTGGCTTACTTCACTCTGTATAATGGGCTCCAGTTTTATCCATCTCATTAGAACTGATTCAAATGAATTCTTTTTAATGGCTGAGTAATATTCCATTGTGTATATGTACCACAGCTTTCTTATCCATTTGTCTGAGGATGGGCATCTAGGTTGCTTCCATGTACTGGCAATTATAAACAGTGCTGCGATGAACATTGGGGTACACGTGTCTCCTTCAGATCTGGTTTCCTCGGTGTGTATGCCCAGAAGTGGGATTGCTGGGTCATATGGCAGTTCTATTTCCAGTTTTTTAAGGAATCTCCACACTGTTCTCCATAGTGGCTGTACTAGTTTGCATTCCCACCAACAGTGTAAGAGGGTTCCCTTTTCTCCACACCCTCTCCAGCATTTATTGCTTGTAGATGTTTGGATAGCAGCCATTCTGACTGGCGTGTAATGGTACCTCATTGTGGTTTTGATTTGCATTTCTCTGATAATGAGTGATGTTGAGCATCTTTTCATGTGTTTGTTAGCCATCTGTATGTCTTCTTTGGAGAAATGTCTATTTAGATCTTTGGCCCATTTTTTGATTGGGTCATTTATTTTTCTGGAATTGAGCTGCAGGAGTTGCTGTATATTTTTGAGATTGAATTACTCATTCTTGCAATAAAATTTCTTGAACACTTACAGTGTGTGCCAGGCATTGTATTAGATACTAGAGATATGATTGTGAAATGAATATAACTAAAATTGAAGTAACATATAGTGTATCTAGAACTTAGAAGTACATATTAAAAATGGTTCAAAAACATAACACAACTAAGTGTTTAGTATTAACAACCTCAAACTTTGGTAAATGTGAAAAGTATAAACTATCATCTAAATCCTTATTAAAAAGAAAAGATCCTAAATTAAAGCACAATCAGTTCAGTCGCTCAGTCGTGTCCGACTCTTTGCAACCCCATGAATCGCAGCACGCCAGGACTCCCTGTCCATCACCAACTCCCAGAGTTTACTCAAACTCATGTCCATCGAGTCAGTGATGCCATCCAGCCATCTCATCCTCTGTCATCCCCTTCTCCTCCTGCCCCCAATCCCTCCCAGCATCGCAACAGCAATAACATTACTGTTCAGCATATGTGGTTAAAATGTATGAAGCAGAAATACTGATACAAAGCATCCAGGTCAAAGTCTGGCATCTACCTGCATTGCTACAGCCACCAGAATCAGACTTCACTAATGACGAGTGGATGATGTATCCATCTAGGCTGCTCTAACTGCTGTTAGTCTATACACATTTAAATTAACTCTAGGAACAAATTTAATTAAACAACTTACCTCTTCTCCAAGTACTTTTTTTTCTGAGTCAAGTGATCGAACCCGATTTCTTAGAGCCAGAATTTCCTCATCCAGTCTCTGATTATGTTCCTTTGCTTTCTGTAGGTCAATTGAGTCTAAAACAAAGAAAATGCAATTGATTCAATTGGACTGAAGTTTTTTCAAATTAATTTATTTTTGGCTGCACTAGGTCTTTGATGTTGTGCGTGGGATTTCTCTAACTGCTGAGAGCGGGTGCTACTCTTTGCAAAGGTGTGCAGGCTTCTCAGTGCAGTGGATTCTCTTGCGAAGCACAGCCTCAGTAGTTGTGGTACACAAGCTTAGATGCCCCACAGCATGTGCGATCCTCTTGGACTAGTGGTCCAGCCTGTGTCCCCTGTATTGGAAGGTAGATTCTTCACTACTGGACAACCAAGGAAGTCCATGGATTGAAGTTCTAATTTGGGGGCATTAAGTCTAAAAACTGAGGAAGTACTATTTCCTGCTGCTCTTGTCAGTTCTACCATGTCTCTGCACATGTGATTCTCTGCAAAGAAGAGTGCTAGACTCTCAAGTCCAACCCTAAACTGTTGTACCAACTCATGAAGCAGAACAGAATGTTTCTTCAATTCTCATGCCATTCTAATGAGTTGGACTTTTTCAGAGTAGTGTTTCCAGCAATAGAGGTTCTTCCAGTACCTGGAATTTTAAAACAATTTAAAACATTTAAAACCTAAATGACCAAGAAAATCATCTTCCTAAGCTCCTGTGGTCCCACCTCTCTTACATGCGTGTATGCTCAGTCGCGTCAGTCATGTCCAACTCTTTGCGAACCCGTGGACTGTAGCCCGCTAGGCTCCTCTGTTCATGGGATTCTCCAGACAAGAATACTGAAGTGGGTTGCCATGCCCTCCTCCAGGGGATCTTCTCAGCCCAGGGATTGAACCCGCAGCTTTTATGTCTCCTGCACTGGCAGGTGGGTTCTTAACCACAAGCACCACGTGGGAAGTCTCTCTTACACACCTCATGTATTTCGTGGTACTTCTCTTGCACTTGTTAACAGCAGGACCCCCATAGACAGCTGATGCACTGAGGTAGGAGCAGCGAACAGACTATCCAAGTGAAATCAGATTAATTCATCAAAATCATCTTTCTCCTGTAGCACCTCTGCCTGTAGGCCACTCTCACCTCAGCACCTCATGTTGAGATCTGCTCTTTCTAGCGCTCATCAAAGTTTCAATAGTATAAACTTGTTGCCGGTAATTTTCTTGGATCAGCAGCTGTTTCTTTTTTTCACTTATGTTTTCCCTGTTTTTCTTTTGTTGCTGTAAAGTTTCCTTTGTCTTCCTTCTTCATTGCCTGTTTGGTTTTTAACTTGTATTAATTTTTTCTTTCTTCATTTTTTCGTTTCCCTTGCTATCCCCTTTTTCTCCTTAGCATGTGAATTTTTAACTTGAAAAATGTTGAAAACACGCCAAAAAGGAAAAAAAAATTTACAATCCATATACATATATGGAAGGCAAGATTTGTTCTAACTTTTGCATATGCAGTTTAAAAAAATTTGAACAATGCTATACAACACTGTCTGCAAATTTACCACCTGTGAATACATCATGGATATCTTTACAGGATAATTCACCTAAAGTCATTTTTCATTTCTTATGTGGAACTATTTTTAAATTGAGATATAATTTATATACAATATAGCAAACATATCATTAATGTTCAGTTTAATGAATTTTGAGAATTTTATATACCTGTGAACTTGCCTTCCAAAAGATACAGAATATTTTCATCACACCATAACATACCCTCAAATCCTTTTCAGTTAGTTCTCCACTCCCACCCACCCCTACAGTCACTTTCTGACTTCTATCACAGCCTATTAATAGCTTCACTCATTCTTGGTTTTCATATAAATTAAATCTTAAAAAACACATATGTTTGTTTCAGGCTACTTTCACTCAATATATACAGTATTCAGGGGATTCACCTGTATTTTATTGATAATTTGATCCTTTTGAGTCCATCTTATTAATATACTATGATTTGTTAATGCAGTATCTCATTTTGTTCTGCATAGTAAACCACTGTCCAAATTGCCATTTCAATCTCACTTTCCTCCTACTGATGAAGATTTAGATTTGCTGCCAATGCTTATTCTTGTAAACAATTATACAAGGATTTTCCTTGTTCATCAATCTCTAAGTCCTTATGACATTATTTCCAAAAAAGTTAATCCCCAGAAAGAAATGACATAGCGGGATCAGAAGACATGCGCATATAAAAAATTTGACAGAGCCTGCCAAATTACTCTTCAGAAAGATGGTACAAAGCTATGTTTTCACAATGGCATTGTCTATTTCTCTATACTGTATATTACAAGTATTTTTAATTTTCACAAATCTTAAAAATACAGTTGAATAATGGCCTATTTTACATAGGTCACTAAAATTAGTTCTGTTCTGCTTATCACAAATGGAATACAGACATTTTGTTTTTTAAAACATCAAGCTAGGGCTTCCCTGGTGGCTCACTGGTAAAGAATCTGCCTGCCAATGCAAGAGACATGAGTTCTATCCCTGATCTGGGAAAATTCCACATGCCGCAAAGCAACTAGGCCCAAGCACCACAACTATTGAGCCTGTGCTCTAGTGCCTGGGAGCCACTATTGAGCCCACGTGCTGCAGCTACTGAAGCCCAGGTACCCTAAAGCCCGTGTTCTGCAAGCAGAAGCCCACGCACTGCAACTAGAGGGGAGTCCCTGCTCTCCATAACTAGAGAAAAGCTCATGAGGTAACACAGACCCAGCACAGTCAATAATAAATAAATAAATAAAATTATATTTAAAAAATCAACCTCTACAGTTAGGTTTAGAATGGATATTCTCATCCAACCCTTATCTACCCTGACCTGAAATAATGTTGTCAATGTGCGTGCGTGTGTGTGTGTGTGTTCAGTCGCTCAGTCCTGTCCAACTCTTTGTGACCACATGGACTGTAGCCCACCAGGCTGCTCTGTCTGTGGGATTTCCCAGGCAAGAATACTGGAGTGGGCTGCCACTTCCTCCTCCAGGGGATCTTCCTGACCTAGGGACTGAACCCACATCTTCTGTGTCTTCTGCGGGTGGATTCTTTACCACTGAGCCACCAGGGAAGCTTATCCTGTGGTTACCTAGGGACTTTCCAAAAGTCTTCACTGTCAAGACAAAAGACACCTTCATTAGGGTGAAGACCAAATACATGTTACTTATTATAAATTATAACATCACAGGGTAAATAAACCTAGTTTTATAACTATTAAACCAGTTTTATATTACCAGTTTTATAAGTATAAAACCAGTAAACATATTTTAAATTATTTTTGTAGCTACTATCATTATAACACTCAAATTTCATTGTATTTCACTGTAGCTAGTGTCATTTATACATAGCCAAATTAGGGTGAGGTGTTGTTAAATGCATTATACAGTGTCTTAACTTCAGTGGTCCCAGTAAAACACATATTGTTTGTGTTAATCAAAGGTTTTGCAGTCAGATGTATAGCTCTAATACTTAATGTAGCTACTGGATAATTCATTTAACCTTGCCATGACTCAGTTTCTTTATCTATGAAATGGTTAGAATAATACTACAACTTGGCATTGATGTTAGGATTAGAGATAATGCATGTAAAATGCCTGATAGGGTATGAGTTAGTAAGCAACAAGTGGTAGTAACAGTAATAAGATGGTAGAGATAGGAATAATAGAACTAGTAGTAATATCATTATTTATTAAATATTATTTAATAATATTACTTAACATAAATTATATTATTGTTTAATGTTTTATTATTAAATATTACAATATCTGTTAAAATTACTCACCATTTTCTTTCAGCTTTATCAAATTTTCTTTCAATTTCTCAATTTCTAGTTGAGCCTTCTCAAGTGCAGAATCTAAAAGAAAAAAAGAGCAGTATATTTGTGTAAGGAGCAAATGATTAGCATAATAATCAAATTTCAAATGACCTTCTGGAACACTTTCTTTCTGATGGCTGTCCTCTGAGTTTCTGCATAAATGTCACCTCCTCCAGGAAGCTTTCCCAGAGTCCCTTCTTAATCTTCCTACTACATCTTAGGTTTCTTCCTATCTCTAATATTGTCTGATCATGTAATCTTTCCCTATTTCCCTAACCAGATTCTATGCTAAAGAGTTTGGACCACTGTAAACAAAAGGAATAGCTAAAATTTTTTAAGCATGGTACTACAAATTTATTAAAAAGAAATTACACACATAAATACTTAAAATTAATGCCTGAAATTAATAATACTTAGGATTTCACCATTCATTCCTAGAAATAGCAAAACAGAAAAATTTCAGAAATAACTTCCGGTACTATTCAAGAATTGTATGAGGATTGCAGAATGGCAGAGAGAAAGTATATGGGACACTGGAGTCTATTGAATTTGTGTTCTCTAACCCAGGTTTTATCACTTTGCCTCCTGTGGTCTACTCATCAACAATGCTACAGCTGATAGGCCTCCTATAATGCAAGTTGAGGAATCTCCCAGAAGAGACCAACATGAATCTTACAAGAGATCATTCCCAATCACATCGAAAAGGTACATGAGGCAAAGTCCAGAGGAAACCAGGCACAAGCTTCTAAGAGTCGTCTCTCAGCAGTCATACAGGATGGGCTTAATTTCTCCAGCAATGAAATTGACAATTCACATGAAAAGTCTGCCAAGAAAATTCATTACAGACTCAGCAGCCAAAGTTTTTACTGGGGGCTACTTCAGTCCTGGGTGTTCACTGGAAGGACTGATGCTGAAGCTGAAACTCCAATACTTTGGCCACCTTATGCGAAGAGTTGACTCACCGGAAAAGACCCTGATGCTGGGAGGGATTGGGGGTAGGAGGAGAAGGGAACCTCAGAGGATGAGATGGCTGGATGGCATCACTGACTCGATGGACATGAGTCTGAGTAAACTCTGGGAGTTGGTGATGGACAGGGAGGTCAGGTGTGCTGTGATTCATGGGGTCACAAACAGTTGGACATGACTGAGCGACTGAACTGAACTTATATAGACACCACCTTCTGCCTATGACATACCAAAATTCCAGACTCTCAGAAGGAAAGCAGGTTTTCAGCATAAACCACATTGTACAAACAGGTCAGGCACAGGTGAGCTACTATTATAAATTGGGGGAGGGAGGGAACCTTCTCAAAATCCAAGTTCTCAGATGCTAGCCAAGGGCTAACCTAACAAACAGGACTTTCTGAGGATAGCAGGGTCAAGTCTTCTATTTTAACTATTTTCTGCACAGGATGGATATACATTTTGTTTATCCACTCACCAACGACAGATGTTTAAGCTGTTTATATGTTTTGGCTAGTACTGTAAACAATAGTGCTTCGAACATTCACATACAACTTTTTTAAAAATGTATTTTATTGAAGTATAGTTGACTTATAATGTTGTATTAATTTCTCATACAAGCTTTTTAGTGGACATATATCTTCATTTCTCCTGGGTCACATGATAATTTTACACTTAACATCTTGAGAAAATGCCAAATTGTTTTCCAAAGTGTCTGCACCACTTTATATTCACCACTATATGGGGAATATAAAACAATGCTCCAATTTCTTCACATCCTTGCCAACACTTGACATTATCTTTTTTTATTACAGCCATTCTAGTGGGTGTGGAGTGGGATCTTATTGTAGTTTTAATTTGCACTTCCCTAGTGATCAATGATTTGAACATCTTTTCATGTGCTATTAGCCATTCACATGCCTTATCTAAAGAAATGTCTACTCAAGTTGTTCATTTTAAAGTTGGACTGTCTTTTTATAATAACATAAAATAATATATAATATTCATGTAGTCTGGATATGAGCTCTGCATCAAACACATGATTTGCAAACATTTCTCTCAGTCCATGGTTTGTCTTTTCACTTTCCTGTTGGTACCTTTTGAAGTATAGAAATTTTAATTTCAATTAAGTATAATTTATTAGGCTTTATTTTATCACTTTTGCTTTTGGTGTTACTTCTAACATATGATTGCCTATGCCCAGATCATAAAAATTCACTCTATGTTTTCTTCTAAACATTTATAGTTTTAATTCTTGCATTTAGCTCTGTGGTTCATTTTGAGTTAATATTTGTGTAGGCATGGCCCTGCCCATCAGAGCAGGACCCAGATTCCCCTCCAGCCAGTCACTCCCATCAGGAAACTTCCACAAGCCTCTTATCCTTATCCATCAGAGGGCAGACAGAATGGAAACCACAGTTACAGAAAACTAACCAAACTGATCACTTGGATCATAGCCTTGTCTTACTCAGTGAAAATATGAGCCATGCTATGTAGGGCCACCTAAGATGGACGGGTCATGGTGGAGGGTTCTGACAAAATGTGGTCCACTGGAGAAGGCAATGGCAAAACACTTCAGTATTCTTGCCTTGAGAACCTCATGAACAGTATGAAAAGCTGAAATGATATGACACTGAAAGATGAACTCCCCAGGTCAGTAGGTGCCCAATATGCTACTGGAGAAAAATGAAGAAATAACTCCAGAAGAATGAAGAGATGGAGCCAAAGTGAAAACAACGCCCAGCTGTGGATGGGACTGGTTATGGAAGTAAAGTCTGATGCTGTAAAGAACAATATTGCATAGGAACATGGAATGTTAGGTCCGTGAATCAAGGTAAATTGGAAGTGGTCAAACAGGAAATGGCAAGAGTAAACATCAACATTTTAGGAATCAGTGAACTAAAATGGACTGGAATGGGCAAACTTAATTCAGATGACCATTATATCTACTACTTTGGGCAAGAATTCCTTAGAAGAAATGGAGTAGCCCTCATAGTCAACAAAAGAGTCTGAAATGCAGTACTTGGGTACAACCTCAAAAATGACAGAATGATCTCTATTCGTTTCCAAGGCAAACCATTCAATATCACAGTAATCCAAGTCTATGCCCCAACCACAAATGCCAAAGAAGCTGAACGGTTCTATGAAGACCTACAAGACCTTCTAGAATTAACACCAAAAAAAGATGTCCTTTTCATCATAGGGGACTGGAATGCAAAAGTAGGAAGTCAAGAGGTACCTGGAGTAAAACAGACAAGTTTGGCCTTGGAGTACAGAATGAAGCAGGGTAAAGGCTAACAGTTTTGCTAAGAGAACGCACTGGTCATAGCAAACCAAACACACTCTTCCAACAACACAAGAGAGACTACACATGGACATCACCAGATGGTCAATACCAAAATCAGATTGATTATATTCACTGCAGCCAAAGATGGAGAAGCTATATACAGTCAGAAAAAACAAGACCAGGGCTGTAGCTCAGATCATGAACTCCTTATTGCAAATTTCAGATTTAATTGAAGAAAGTAGGGAAAACCACTGGACCATTCAGGTATGACCTAAATCAAATCCCTTATGATTAAACAGTGGAAGAGACAAATAGATTCAAGGAATTAGATCTGATAGATAGAGGGCCTGAAGAACTATGGGCAGAGGTTTGTAACATTGTATAGGAGGTGGTGATCAAAACCATCCCTAGGAAAAAGCAATGCCAAAAGGCAAGATGGTTGTCTGAGGAGGCCTTACAAATAGCTGAGAAGAGAGAAGTGAATGGCGAAAGAGAAAAGGAAAGATATACCCATCTGAATGCAGAGTTCCAAACAACAGCAAGGAGAGATAAGAAAGCCTTCCTCAGTGATCAGTGCAAACATATTGAGGAAAAGAATAGAATGGGAAAGACTACAGACCTCTTCAAGAAAATTAGAGATACCAAGGGAACATCTCATGCAAAGATGGGCATGATGAAGGACAGAAATGCTATGGACCTAATGAGCAGAAGATAGTAAGAAAAGGTGGCAAGAATATACAGAAGAACTATACAGAAAAGATCTTCACGACCCAGATAACCACTGTGGTGTGATCACTCACCTAGAGCCAGACATCCCGGAGTGCCAAGTCAAGTGGGCCTTAGGAAGAATGACTATAAACAGAGCTAGTGGAGGTGTGGGAATTCCAGCAGAGCTATTTCAAATCCTGAAAGATGATGCTGTGAAAGTGCTGCACTCAATATGATAGCAAATTTGGAAAACTCAGCAGTGACCACAGGACTAGAAAAGGTCAGTTTTCATTCCAATCCCAAAGAAAGGCAATGCCAAAGCATGTTCAAACTACCGCACAATTGCACTCATTTCACATGCTAGCAAAGTAATGCTCAAAAGTCTCCAAGCTAGGCTTCAGCAGTACATGAACTGAGAACTTTCAGATGTTCCAGGTGGATTGAGGAAAGGCAGAGGAACCAGAGATCAAATTGCCAACATCCGCTGAATCATAGAAAAAGTAAGGTAATTTCAGAAAAACATCTGCTTCATTGACTATGCCAAAGCCTTTGACTGTGTGGATCACAATATTGTGGAAAATTCTTAAACAGATGGGAATACCAAACCAACTTACCTGCCTCTGAGAAACCTGTATGCAGGTCAAGAAGCTACAGTTAGAACTGAATATGGAACAATGGACTGGTTCCAAATTGGGAAAGGAGTACGTCAAAGATGTATATTGGCACCCTGCTTATTTAACTTATATGCAGAGTACATAATGTGAAATGCCTGGCTGGATGAAGCACAAGCTGGAATTAAGAATGCCAGGAGAAATATCAATTAACTCAGGTATGCAGATGATACCACCCTTATGGAAGAAAGCAAGAGGAACTAAAGAGCCTCTTGAAGGTGAAAGAGGAGAGTGAAAAAGTTGGCTTAAAACTCAACATTCAAAAGACAAAGATCATGGTATGTGGCCCCATCACTTCATGGCAAGAAGTTGGGGCAGCAATGGAAACAGTAACAGACATTATTTTCTTGGGCTCCAAAATCACTGCAGATGGTGACTGTAGCCATGAAATTAAAAGATGCTTGATCCTTGGAAGAAAAGCTGTGACAAACCTAGCCAGTGTATTATAAAGCAGAGACACTACTTTGCCAACAAAGGTCCATCTAGTCAAACCTATGGCTTTTCCAGTAGTCATGTATAGATGTGAGAGTTGAACTATAAAGAAAGCTGAACACCGAAGAATTCATGCTTTTGAACTGTGGTGTTGAAGACTCTTGAGAGTTCCTTGGACTGCAAGGAGATCCAACCAGTCCATCCTAAAGGAAATCAGTCCTGAATACTCATACGAAGGACTGATGCTGAGGCTGAAACTCCAGTACTCTGGCCACCTGATGTGAAGAACTGACTCACTGGAAAAGACCCTAATGCTGGGAAAGATTGATGGTGGGAGGAGAAGGGGAAGACAGAGTATGAGATGCTTGGATGGCATCATCGACTCAATGGACATGAGTTTGAGTAAACTCTGGGAGTTGGTGATGGGCAGGGAGGCCTGGGGTACTGCAGTCCATGGGGTCTCAAAGAATTGGACATGACTGAGCAATTGAACTGAACTGAACTGATACCTAAAATAAGCAACAACGAAAACAAACATATGAAAGGATTTTCAACATTGTTAACTGTCAGAGAAATGTTAAGTAAAGCCACAGTTAAATACTACTACATAACTCACCAGAAAAGGTAAAATTAATAAGATTGATGATACCAAGCACTGACAAAGAATGTGAAGTAACTAACAACTCATACACAACTGAGCAGAGCTTAAATTAATACAAGTATTTGAAAGACAGCATGGCAGTAATCTACCAACACAGAACAAATCCTTAACCATCCAATCTGATAATTCTACTCAGGTATATCATGATCAGAAACATATAGATGAGGACAAGAATACTTAGAGCAGCACCGTTCATAATAGACCGCAACTGGAAACAACATAAATGTCTATCAACAGTAGAAGGGATAAATAAAATAAATGGAGTATGTTTATTCAATGAAATACTAGAGTACAAACAGCAAAAGTGAACAAATTACTGTTACATGCAACAATATGAATGAATCTCACAAATATAATATTGTACAAAAGAAACAAGCTAAAGAATGTATACTTTCTGTAGTTAAAACTCAGAAATAGCCTTAAAAGTTAGGACTAGTCATTACTTTGGGGGAGGAGAGAGTATGTAGACATAGGGAGAAGAAACAGAGTTTCTGGAGTCCTGGAAATTTCTTGCACTGGGTGGTGTATTGGAGTTGTACACCTTTCGGTAGTTATATGCTTCAACAAAAATTTCTGGACACCGTAGAAAATGGGACTATATATCAGACGTTTATGTGTTTATCTTAGAAGATTTTTTTTCTCAGTGTACTTGTGTTTTACCCTTAGTAGGACCATTACATGTAAAACATGGTCAGAAATGTTCATCTGTCACCACAGCTTACCTAATTTACTCTGTACCTTCTCCTTCCCTTGCAGTTCATCGGTGAGCCTTCGGATATCTTCATGGGCCATCTCTAGCTTCCGTGCTACTTGCTCCAAATCTCTCTCTCTGCAGTTTTGTGGTGTTTTATCTTTTTCTGGATCTTCATTATGGGACTGAAATAAAACTGTCATTAGGAGTACACTGAAAAGTAAATATATTGTTAGGATATTGCCCTATAAGTGTTAGAAAGCCAATAAAGAAGAGTAGATTATTTATGTGCATTTCTTTTATTAGGTTGAACCATATAAAATTGGTGATACTTTATTGTTTTTATACAATTTCACCTTCAAACCTAACCTACTTAAGAGATTATGGTTATATAATTATTTCAAAAACTAGAAATTCAATCACAAAAATAATCTTTGGCAAAAAAGAAGGAAAACAGTCCTCATTTATATGGTAATTAAATACAGCTTGTAAAATGCCTTTACGTTAAATTTTATTTAATTTCAAAGTTGGAACAATTAAGGCTCAATTCATGTTTAGAGCTCCTTTCCTACAACTATTTTTAAAGCATTTTAAAAGCTAAGTGAGAAATTCAATCTCAATTATATTTGGCTTTTGATCCCCAAGATATGTATTTCATATATGAATATAATTTCATTATACAAATTTTTCTAAAAAGGAAGAAAACAACCAAATATTAGTGCAATCTTCATAACAAAACTACTTTCGGCTTACTGGTTTATTTCCTTGCAGTATTTTTCATTTACATACATTTTTTACATAGTCATAATCTCAATCTATGTACACATTTCTGTCTGGCTTTTTCATTTAACATTATATGAGGAATACTTTTCTACATTGCTGTATAGATTTATAATGATAATTTTTAGAGGCTATATAATGTACCAGTGGGTGCAGCATAATTTATATAATCATTTCAACATTTTGGTAGTTCTCCATTTTTGCTATTGAAAATAGTACTATGGTTTCATCCACATATATTTATCTTGGTTGCTTCCCATTGTTAAATTCTCTATATATACTTTATTCACTGGATTTAACTCTTAATAACATTTCCTTAGATCAAAAATAATTTCCACAAAGAGAATTACTTATATTTAAAATAATGTGCTACACATTTTAAAGGACCTCCCCTCAAAAAGAAGCTTCAAATATATTTGGAAAGAAGTGTGTGCTGCTGTTTATAATAGCCAGGACATGGACAACCTAGATGCCCATCAGCAGACGAATGGATGAGGAAGCTGTGGTACATAGACACCATGGAATATTACTCAGCCATTAAAAAGAATTCATTTGAATCAGTTCTAATGAGATGGATGAAACTGGAGCCCATTATACAGAGCGAAGTAAGCCAGAAAGATAAAGACCATTACAGTATACTAACACATATATATGGAATTTAGAAAGATGGTAACGATAACCCTATGTGCAAAACAGAAAAAGAGACTCCTATGTATAGAACAGACTTGTGGACTCTGGGAGAAGGCGAGGGTGGGATGTTTCAAGAGAACAGCATCGAAACATGTATATTATCTAGGGTGAAACAGTTCACCAGCCCAGGTTGGGTGCATGAGACAAGTGCTCGGGCCTGGTGCACTGGGAAGACCCAGAGGGATCGGGTGGAGAGGGAGGTGGGAGGGGGGACCGGGATGGGGAATACATGTAAATCCATGGCTAATTCATTTCAATGTATGACAAAAACCACTGCAATGATGTAAAGTAATTAGCCTCCAACTAATAAAAATAAATGGGAAAAAAAATAAAATAAATAAATGATCTCTGAAAAAAAAAAAGAAGTGTGTGCTATCCCAAGGTGATTTTTCAAAGGACATAACACATATTGATTGCTTAAATTTTGATACATTCAATAAAAATCAGCTATTGTGTTAAATAATTTTTCTTCCCAAATTTCTATGATGTGTTCATAATACTCTCATGCACAACTGATATCTTTTACAGCAGGGATTTATACATTTTAATGTATTCAAACAAAATAGTTCCAAGGTAAAACTAACTTGTAATTACCTATTATTATTAAGCAAAAGATTGTAAATTTTTTCTTACTTCACTCAGACTTTTTTTAGACTGATGCACAGGTCCTTGATGTTTCTGATGTTCCTTTTGCAGAGGCTGGTGGGTTTGTTCAAGTTTCTCCTAAGTGAGGTGAATGAAAACTATATCAATCAGCTTCATGAACAAAAATGTCATTTAAATTAAAAAATACATAATCAAGTAGAGAAAGAAGGAGCACAATCCAGTCAATTTTATGAGGCTAGACTATGCATTCTCAATGAGATAATACTGCCTCCAGGGGAGTTCAAACTGATTCCTAAGTGGGGGAAATCTTACCCTTTTAAGTACAAAGTACAGACGCCTATGGTACATATTTAGAATTACTTTATATCAGTATCATCAAGATTTCATGGGAGAGTGATAGAAAAAATTATCTCAGTATAGAAATTTAATGAAAAAAAGGCTGGCTAACACTGCCTAGATGGACCTTGATATTAAAGCCTGACAAAGGTAACACAAAAAGAAAAATTACAGGGCCACCTCACTCATAAACGTAGATGCAAAAATTTAAAGAAAAGTTTATCAAACTGAATCTATACTATTTAGAAAGGATAACACATCATGAAGGAGTTGGATTTATCCCAGGAATACAATATAGGTTTAACATTAGAAAATTTAATCAATGAAATTCTCACATTAACAGGTAAAAGTTCTAAATGACTTCATCATTTCAGTAGCTGTAGAAAAAACTCAACATTTTCTAAAGTTAACATTAATTCCTAATAGAAGCTCTGAACAAATTAGGAATAAAAGAGAACTTTCTTAACTCAATAATGTCTATCTTTAAAAAACAGCAACTCTTTTTTTTTTTTTACAGAATATAGCTTTATTTATAGAATTTTACTAATAAAAACATTTACAGTCCACATAACTTATTTTCTTTTCTAATATATCCTCATAACTCCCAACTTATTTAAAAAAAATACTGTGATGGAATTGTAGAACTGTAAAAGAAAATATGAATAATAAAAATCTAACCTCTCTCTTTTGCAAAAACCAGACAACTTTTTGGAAAAACAGCAACTCTTAATCAAACATCATACTAGTGAATAGCTGAATACTTTCTCTCTGATATCATTAACAAGACAAGTATGTCTGCTATTCAAGATAATAGTAAAGATCCAAGTCAGTATAGTAAGGTAAGTAAAGAAATTTAAAGGAATAAAGATGGGAGAGGAAGACACAAAAGTATCATTATTCTCAGATACAGGTGGAAAAAGTACAAAATCTTCAAATAAATTATTAAAATGAATGCAAAATTTTAGCAATATTGCTAAGTATAGTCAATATATGAAAATAATTATAGTTTTAATACTAGCAATAGATAATTAGAAAATTAAATTCTCAAAAAACATACAGCATTTACTACTAACAGCATCCAAAAATATGAAGTAACTAGCAATGAATATAACAAAAAATGGGCAAGATTTTGTGGAAAAAGTGATAAAACTTTACTTATATACATTAAAAAGTAAATGAAGAGATAGTCTATGATCACAGACAACATAAATATTTTAAGATAGCCAATTCCTCTCAAATAGATTTATAGAGTCAATGCAACCAAAAATCAAAATTCCAGAAGGAAAGAATTTCTTAAACAGGACAGAAAAACACTAACTATAAAACAGATGATTGATAAATTGAACAATGTTAAATTTAAGAACGTCTGTTCCTTAAAAGACACTGTTAAGAATATTAAAAAGACAAGTCACAGAGTGGGGAAAAAGTATTTGTGACACACATAATCAATAAAAATACTTGAAACCAGAGCATAGACAATACATGTAAATATGAAGACAGACAACTCAATTTTTTAGTGGACAAAAGACCTGAAAAACCACCAACAAAATAGGAAATTCGACAAATAATCATGCTAAATTCATTTGTAATCAGGGAAATGCTAATTAAAACCAATATGGGATATCGTTATGCACCTAGTAGTTCAGCAAAAATTTAAAAGTCTGAAAACATCAGGTGTTGATGAGAAGCAAAGGCATTCTCATACAATACTAGTGCCAGAATAAACTGGTACCACTACTTTAAGAAGAAAGTTTGACATTATCTAGTAAAGCTGAAGATCCACATACTCTATAAATTTCCTAAATCTCCTCTTAGGTGTATACCCTATACAAATGAATGCACATACAGAAGAATACTCACAGCAGCATAACTGATAAAATTAAAATACATTAGAAATAGATATAAATTGGAAATAACCCAAATTAGCATAGAATGGATAGTCTCCTGTTGTATATTCACATGATGGAATAATATATAGCAGTGACAACCTGATTAAAAATAAATAATATAAACATAACATTTTACAAAAAAGCACTTCCCAAAGTTCATTCCTGGTATGTAATGTTCAAAAATAGACAAAACTAAACTACTATATATATTATTTAGGGATGCATATCTTTGTGGAGAGGAAGGGGGTTGTGACCAGATAAGAAATGTTCTAGGCAGTTGACAATGTTGTATTCCTAATAGGACCAGTGGTTACATGGGTGTTTATTCAACAGCTATTAGTCAAACTGTATTTTTAAAGTGTTACCATTTTTCTGCATACATTCTATTATATTCTGCAGTAAAATATTTTAAAAAAAACTTTGATTATTCCTGGCATTAAAAGTCATCTCTTTGTCTTCTGCCCCATGCAACAATAAAGTGGTTAAATAAATTCTGATACATCCATTTAAAGGATATATGTTATCAAAAAGACAAAGGAAAATCTCTGCACACTAATACAGAAAGTGAAAACAATAGGCATAATGGAATATAATTTGAGTTTTAAGAGAATGGAAACTTTTTGGAAAGATAGGTTAAAAAATTGTTGGCAGTGGTTGCTTAGCAGTATGGAAGTGAGGATTTGGGATGAGAAGATAACTTGTTTTTCATCTATTTTATACTGCTTGAATCCTTTTTTTTTTTTTTTTTTTACTATGTGCCTGTATTAAGTTAAAAAGCCAATCAGTCATTTCAGTTCAGTCACTCAGTTGTGTCCTACTCTTTGCAGCCCCATGAACAGCAGCATGCCAGGTCTCCCTGTCCATCACAAACTCCCGGAGTCCACCAAACCCATGTCCATTGAGTCGGTGATGCCATCCAACCATCTCATGCTCTGTCGTCCCCTTCTCCTCCTGCCCTCAATCTTTCCCAGGATCAGGGTCTTTTCCAATGAATCAGCTCTTTGCATCAGGTGGCCAAAGTATTGCAGTTTCAGCTTCAACATCAGTCCTTCCAATGAACACCCAGGACTGATCTCCTTTAGTGTGGACTGGTTGGATCTCCTTGCAGTCCAAGGGACTCTCAAGAGTCTTCTCCAACACTACAGTTCAAAACCATGAATTCTTCTGCACTCAGTTTTCTTTACAGTCCAACTCTCACAGCCATACATGACCACTGGAAAAACCATAACCATGACTAGATGGACCTTTGTTGGCAAAGTAACGTCTCTGCTTTTTAATATGCTGTCTAGGTTGGTCATAACTTTCCTTCCAAGGAGTAAGCATCTTTTAATTTCATGGCTGCAATCACCATCTGCAGTGATTTTGGAGTCCAGAACAATAAAGTCAGCCACTGTTTCCACTGCTTCCCCATCTATTTGCCATGAAGTGATGGGACCAGATGCCATGATCTTAGTTTTCTAAATGTTGAGCTTTAAGCCAACTTTTTTCACTCTCCTCTTTCACTTTCATCAAGAGGCTCTTTAGTTTCTCTTCACTTTCTGCCATAAGGGTGGTGTCATCTGCATATCTGAGGTTATTGATACTTCTCCCGGCAGTCTTGATTTCAGCTTGTGCTTCCTCCAGCCCAGCGTTTCTCATGATATACTTTGCATATAAGTTAAATAAGTAGGGTGACAATATACAGCCTTGACGTACTCCTTTTCCTGTTTGGAACTAGTCTGTTGTTCCTTGTCCAGTTCTAACTGTGCTTCCTGACCTGCATGTATAGATCTATAGAATGGAATATTACTTTATAATAAAAAATAAAAAAATACACAACAAAACAGATATATCTCAATTATCTGAGTGAAATAAGCCAGACCAAAAAGAGTTCATAGTCTATGGTTCCATTTGTATAAAGCGGTAGGAAATGCAAACTGGTCTGTAATAACAGAAACAGGTCAGTGGTTCTGAGGACCATGTTGGGAAAGAATAAATTAAGGAAACTTAAATATGAAACTTTTGCCTGTGGTGGATATTTTCATTATCTTGATTGTGCTGTTGGTTTCATGAATGTACACATGTAACAAAAAAATATACACTGTAAATATGTTCAGTTTATTGTATATTGATTATACCTTTAAAAAACTTTAAAAAATTGCAAGGATCTTATTATCATGAATTGTAGCTTGTAAAAATTTCATTGCCTCCCCAGTTATATTTTACATAGACTAATGTTGAACTAACCTGTGCATTAAATAGATGAGAGAATCATTCCTACCAAAATGGGACCACATATGATGACTTGAAAGCCCAAGAAGTTTTGCAAGGCCTGATCTACATATGAACTACATTTTACTTAACATTAGTTTTCATTTTTTTGTTGGCTTTTTAACTGTGGAAAATTCTTAAAGAGATGGGAATATCAGACCACCTGACCTGCCTCTTGAGAAATCTGTATGCAGGTCAGGAGTACAATTTTTTGTTACATGTATACACTCATGAAACCAACAGCACAATCAAGATAATGAAAATATCCACCACAGGCAAAAGTTTCATAGGCTTTCTTAAATTTAGTCTTTCCCAACAAGGTCCTCAGACAACCACTGACCTGTTTCTGTTATTATACACCAGTTTGCATTTCCTACCACTTTATACAAATGGAACCATAGACTATGAACTCTTTTTGGTCTGGCTTATTTCACTCAGATAATTGAGATATATCTGTTTTGTTGTGTATTTTTTATTTTTTATTATAAAGTAATATTCCATTCTATAGATATATACATTTACCTGTTGATGAACATTTGAGCTGATTATATAATGAAAGTTGCTGTGACATGTGTAACTCTTTACACGGGCACATGCTTTCAGTTCTCTTGGTATATTCCCAGGAGTGGAATGTAACAGTTGCATGTTTAACTTTTTAAGATAATGCTAAGCAATTTTCAAAGTGGCAATATCATTTTATATTCCTATCAGTAGAATATGCGGATTATAGTTGCTTCACATTGTCAACAATACTTCATACGGTTAGTCTTTAATTCTGGGCATTCATTGATATTGATAAATTGATAGTGGTGACAGGTGATTTTTGTGTTTTCCTAATAGTAAATGAATTTAAGCATTATTTCATGTGCTTATTTACTATTGTATATCTTCTCTGGTACAGTTGCTTTTTAAATTTTTTGCCCTTTTTTTCATTTATTTTTATTAGTTGGAGGCTAATTACTTTACAATATTATAGTGATTTTTGTCATACATTGACATGAATCAGCCATGGATTTACATGTATTCCCCATCCCGATCTCCCCTCCCACCTCCCTCTCTACCCAATCCCTCTGAGTCTTCCCAGTGCACCAGGCCCGAGCACTTGTCTCATGCATCCAGCCTGGGCTGGTGATCTGTTTCACTATAGATAATATACATGTTTTGATGCTGTTCTCTTGAAACATCCCACCCTCGCCTTCTCCCACAGAGTCCAAAAGTCTGTTCTGTACATCTGTGTCTCTTTTTCTGTTTTGCATATAGGGTTATTGTTACCATCTTTTTAAATTCCATATATATATGTTAGTATGCTGTAATGTTCTTTATCTTTGTGGCTTACTTCATTCTGTATAATGGGCTCCAGTTTCATCCATCTCATTAGAACTGATTCAAATGAATTCTTTTTAATGGCTGAGTAATATTCCATGGTGTATATGTAACACAGCTTCCTCATCCATTTGTCTGCTGATGGGCATCTAGGTTGCTTCCATGTCCTGGCTATTATAAACAGTTCTGCGATGAACATTGGGGTACACGTGTCTCTTTCAGATCTGGTTTCCTCGGTGTGTATGCCCAAGAGTGGGACTGCTGGGTCATATGGCAGTTCTATTTCCAGTTTTTTAAGAAATCTCCACACTGTTCTCCATAGCGGCTGTACTAGTTTGCATTCCCACCAACAGTGTAAGAGGGTTCCCTTTTCTCCACACCCTCTCCAGCATTTATTGCTTGTAGACGTTTGGATAGCAGCCATCCTGACTGGCGTGTAATGGTACCTCATTGTGGTTTTGATTTGCATTTCTCTGATGATGAGTGATGTTGAGCATCTTTTCATGTGTTTGTTAGCCATCTGTATGTCTTCTTTGGAGAAATGTCTGTTTAGTTCTTTGGCCCATTTTTTGATTGGGTCATTTATTTTTCTGGAATTGAGCTGCAGCAGTTGCTTGTATATTTTTGAGATTAGTCCTTTGTCTGTTGCTTCGTTTGCTATTATTTTCTCCCAATCTGAGGGCTGTCTTTTCACCTTGCTTATAGTTTCCTTTGTTGTGCAAAAGCTTTTAAGTTTCATTAGGTCCCATTTGTTTATTTTTGCTTTTATTTCCAATATTCTGGGAGGTGGGTCATAGAGGATCCTGCTGTGATTTTTGTCATAGAGGGTTTTGCCTATGTTCTCCTCTAGGAGTTTTATAGTTTCTGGTCTTACATTTAGATCTTTAATCCATTTTGAGTTTATTTTTGTGTATGGTGTTAGAAAGTGTTCTAGTTTCATTCTTTTACAAGTGGTTGACCAGTTTTCCCAGCACCACTTGTTAAAGAGGTTGTCTTTTTTCCATTGTATATCCTTGCCTCCTTTGTTGAAGATAAGGTGACCATAGGTTTGTGGATTTATCTCTGGGCTTTCTATTCTGTTCCATTGATCTATATTTCTGTCTTTGTGCCAGTACCATACTGTCTTGATGACTGTGGCTTTGTAGTAGAGTCTGAAGTCAGGCAGGTTGATTCCTCCAGTTCCATTCTTCTTTCTCAAGGTTACTTTGGCTATTCGAGGTTTTTTGTATTTCCATACAAATTGAGAAATTATTTGTTCTAGTTCTGTGAAAAATACCATTGGTAGCTTAATAGGGATTGCATTGAATCTATAGATTGCTTTGGGTAGAATAGCCATTTTTACAGTATTGATTCTTCCAATCTATGAACATGGTATGTTTCTCCATCTGTTTGTGTCCTCTTTGATTTCTTTCATCAGTGTTTTATAGTTTTCTATGTATAGGTCTTTTGTTTCTTTAGGTAGATATACTCCTAAGTATTTTATTCTTTTTGTTGCAGTGGTGAATGGTATTGTTTCCTTAATTTCTCTTTCTGTTTTCTCATTGTTAGTATACAGGAATGCAAGGGATTTCTGTGTGTTAATTTTATATCCTGCAACTTTACTATATTCGTTGATTATCTCTAGTAATTTTCTGGTAGAGTCTTTAGGGTTTTCCATGTAGAGGATCATGTCATCTGCAAACAGCGAGAGTTTCACTTCTTCTTTTCCTATCTGGCTTCCTTTTACTTCTTTTTCTGCTCTGATTGCTGTGGCCAAAACTTCCAAAATGGGTTGTATGTGTTATTATTATTGAGCTATAAGATTTATTTATATATTTAGATAGAAAGATTTTGTTGGACACATTTAAAAAAAAATATTATCTCCCAGTCTGTGCCTTCCTCTTTTATTTTTGTTTTTTGAAGAACAAACATTCTGAATTTTTATAAAATCCAATTTCATACTCTGTGCTCTTCCTGTCTGATAAAAATCTTTCCAAATCCAAGGTCACTAAAATTTTCTTCTGTAGATTTTATCTCCTACATGATCTATGAACTGTTTTGAGTTAATTGTTGTATATGGGTAGGATAGAGGTATTATAAAGCCTAAATTTTCATGTGTTACCTTCACACTGTTGTATCTCACAGTGCACCAAAAGCCTAACCATGAATTCCTCTGCTTTTGCCAGATATACCCCCATCTAACAGGAAAGATTCCCTACCCAGCTAGTTCCCCTCTCAGCCCCAACAGCTATACTCCACCTGGTCCTCAGCTATTTAACAATTGTCATTTCGCTGCCAACTCATGGAATGTTTTAAACAAGCTAGTCATATCCTCCCAGAGGAACAAAGGAGCGCCTCTCCTACTGTCACTACAAAGTTTGTCTCCCGTGGGTCCTGTGAGTTCACTCTGTTCCTGAATACAACCCCCTGCGGCCCTGCCTGACAGGCAGCGTCCACCCCTGGGCTGTGAGTCTATGTGATTAACTAACAGCCACATCTCTGTCCAATGCTGGGTATCATGTGTTTGATTATCTCATAGTATTTAGGGTAGGGACTCCCTCCTTTACCAGTGGGGAAGGGAACTCAATAGAGTTGAGGGAGTTTCTTCTGTTTGTTTTTTGCATATGCCTGTCCAATTGTTCCAGGACCATTTGTGGAAAAGCGCATCTTTTCCCCATTAAATTACCTTCCCATCTGTTTTGAAAATCAATTTACCATACAGATACAGGGCTTTATTTTGTTCCATTGATCTATATATCTACCTTTACACCAATACCACACTTTCTTGATTACTGCAGCTTTGTGGTAAGTCTTGAAAGCGGGAAGAGTGTATCATCCAGTTTGTTCTTTTTCGAAGTTGTTTTGGCTATTCTAGTTCCCTTGCCTTCCTTATCCATTTTAGAATCAACTTGTCAATTTCTACAAAAAAGTGACTCTACTGATTACTTTATGCTCAGGTAAATGACAACATTAGCTTAAACAAAATATAAACGGGAGTGTCACAGAAATGTTATGAATTACATTTTATAATAACAAAATCCTTTATACTGTCTGTTTTAATTCTTCCTGTCCATGAGTTGTAAAACTATGACTTAGTAGTGATCTAAGTAAACTATGATCTTAGCCTTAAGATCATCTAAGATTTCACCTTCAAAACACCAATTTGTTTTATAGATTCCATCTCCTTCATAACTCCTTAGTTCATCTTCCCTTCTTCATTTACACTCTGAGTCTTGTTTTTGGTTCTCATTCTTTAATTATTTATTATTTAACATCTCCTGAAACCCCAGCTTCCAATATGGCCCCTTGCCAATCCATCTCTCCACGATGGCCAGAGTGATTTTTCTAAAACACAAATCAGATCATGCCATGCGTAAGTGCATGTTACTCTTCTCTTAAAATCATTTAGTGACTCTCCAGATCTTTTACAGCAGTCAGTTATTAGTCAATTTGAAATATTTTTATGCCTCTAGTATGCTCCAGGAACACTGCTGGGTGCTGAGTCTAAACTCTCTAGTTTAGCATATGAGTCTCACCATGAAGTGGTTTCTGAAAATATCTCCAGGTGCATTTCTCAGCATTGACTCACCTGAACCAATATGTATTATGCACTGTCTTCTCTGCCAGAAATGCCTTTCGCTTCTTCTTCATCCAGCTCACACCTACTCAGCTTTCAAAATGCTACTCAATACCACTTCTTCTGGAAGCCTTTTCTATCCATCCTGACTGAGAACCCCCGGGTTCTCCTAGCCTTCTGTGCCTCATTTTACTGAAGAACTTTCCACACTGAGTTATAACCACTAGTTTATTTCTTTCCTTCATTAGCTTCATTTATTTCTTTCATTTTTCTTTCCTTGCAAGTCCAGATCACATTTAATTTGACTTTGTTCCTACATCTACTAGCACAAAGCCTGGCACACAATAGGTTCTCAACAATAAAAATGCTAATTAACGTGTGGGGTTTCATTTTAGAGCTATACATATATTAAGCAATCTCATTTCATTTTCATGATCATCTTGTGGAGTAGGTGAGTTGCTCCCAGATTTTACAGATTATGACATTGAGGCTCACAAAAATTAAGTAATTTATTCAAGGACATACTGCTCACAAGGGGCAGAGCAGGTCCATTCAAACCTAAAGTCTATATTCTTAAGCGCTATCAAAATTGGCTTCCTGATATTTTAATGTATGAAAGGTTAAATAAATACATGCATTCTTCAACTGGCCTGCTTCTTATTCAATTCTGTAGTTAATTTTGGAATACCTGGGGAAAACCTTTCTGCAGGTTATGGCTCAGACATCTTTGTGGTTCTGGCTTGGGGTTCCCAAGTTCCAGTTTTCTCAAGAGTGTACTTCTTTCCATGATTAAGGGTGTGATCTGTTCATGGGGGCTGCTCAGAGCCACTGTAGACAAGTCTTCTTGATACATTTCAACTTCCTTTGTTTGCATTTCTGTTAGGAAGAAATAGCAGAAACAATACTGAAATTACAAGAAATGCAGGCAATAACTAAAAAGTAGTGGGAAAAGGTTCTCAAAAGCGGTAGATATTCTTCAGTTCAGTTCAGTTGCTCAGTTGTGTCTGACTCTGCAACCCCACAGACTGCAGCAGGCCAGGCTTCCCTGTCCATCACCAACTCCCGAAGCCTACTCAAACTCATGTCCACTGCATCAGTGTTACCATCCAACCACCTTATCCTCTGTCATCCCCTTCTCCTCCTGCCTTCAATCTTTCCCAGCATCAGGGTCTTTTCCAATGAATTGGTTTTTTGCATCAGGTAGCCAAAGTACTAGAGTTTCAGCTTCAACATCAGTCCTTCCAATGAATATTTAGGACTGATTTCCTTTAGGATTGACTGGTTGGATCTCCTTGCAGTCCTTGGACTCTCAAGAGTCTTCTCCAACACCACAATTCAAAAGCATCAATTCTTCGGCACTTAGCTTTCTTTATAGTCCAACTCTCACATCCATACATGACTCCAGGAAAAACCATAGCTTTGACTAGATGGACCTTTGGTGGCAAAGTAATGTCTCTGCTTTTTAATATGCTGTCTAGGTTGGTATTCTAGATATTCTTACTACCTATGTAAGTTTAAAATTTGTCCTTGCATAACTTTTAAAGTGTATTGTTGTTTCAGTTAGTGTTTGCTCTTGTGGCAGGTATTATACTAAGCATTTGAGATAAATTTATCTTATTTAATCCAGTGAGGTAGGAATCATATTATCACTTTTAAGAAATGAGGGCTCAGGCACCAAGAAATCTGTCCATAGTCACTCAGCTGATCCTGCCGAAATTCTTGATGCTTTCAATAATCAGGTAAATGATTATATTCCAGGAGCCTGTCCTTTCAGTTCTTTTACCAGCTAACTTCCAAAAATCTGGTCCTCTATCCCATCTCAGTCACCTACTCTGTAGTAATTCCCTAGACCTTGTCATTAGCCTGTATAGTTTCTATAGCCTCACCCTAGCCTCAATTTCAAACATCCTATTCTCCAATCATCCCTCCCACCTCTTTGTACTAGCAGCTCAATTTCAACAATTTTTGACCATACTGGAAACTACCATCCATTTACTATAAAGACTTTTCAACGTTCCTTATGCCATCCCTATTCTCATTTCCTTTCTTACCCAGCTTAGATTCTACAGCCCATCATTAAAATCACTCCCCTGAAAACATTCACAATTCTCTTGCCTCCTTTCCTTCCATTATACTTGGTGACAAAACTTCAACCTGTTTAAACCCAGCACTTCACCAGTGCACTCCAGAAGCTGAATGGAGCTGGAGAACACTGCACAGACAGTGCTTGGTTTCATTTCAAACACATGACTACCAACCAACCTTGAGTGGGCCCCTACTGCTGCTCAGCAATCCTCCTGCATTCCCCTGATTGTCTTTCTCTCTCATTTTCTAGAGACCTAAACCATTATTTCATCCTCCTCTCTCATCAAATCTCTAATACCTCCTTCCCATCCTCACTTCTCATCCCATCCCATAAGAACACCTGATTTCTTATTTCACTGAGAAAAGAGAAGTACTCCGAAAAGAGCTCCCACTAGCTCCCCTTACCAAATCTGCCAGCTCTCCGGTACTCTTCCTTCTTGTGAGATTAAACAAGCTACCCCTGTTCCTAAGGCCAGCCCCTCTCTTATACACTGGATCTCATTCCTTCTCCTCTCAAAAAAAAAAAAAAAAGCTCCTGCAATTGACTCTTATCTCTGCTGCCTCATGGAGCTTTCTTCCCAACTATTCATCTTAGAGACACGGTATAATATCTCCCATTAAAAACAACAGTCATAGGGACTTCCCTAGTGGTCCAGTGGTTAGGACTCCACGCTTCCATGTAGGGGACATGGGTTCTATCCCCGGGTGGGAAACCAAGACCCTGTATGCTGCACACAGCATACACAAAAAATTAAAAAATGAAAAGTTAAAAAAAAATAAATAAAAGTAAAAACAAGGTAATGAAAAGCACAAAAATTTTGCTTCACACGCGTGTCGCCCTCCAGCTCCTCCACCATTTCTTCATTCCTCTTTGCCGCACAACTTCAAGAAAGGATCAGCCATAGCCATGTCCCCTCCTTCTCCTATCATTCTTTCCTGAATTCACTCATTGGCTTTTGTATCCACTGCTCCACAGAAACAGCTCTCCTCAAAAACACAATGAGCTCCACGTGACCAGATCCATGGTCAATCTCCTGCCTCACTCCACATAGCCTATTAATTGTTCATTTCCTTTTCTGAAAACACCTTCCTCATTTCTCACCTCGGGCACCACACTCTGCTAGTTTCCTCTTACCTTTCATGCCACTCCTCCTCAGACTCCTTTGCTGACTTCTTACCTCTGAACAAGGGAACACATCAGGGCCCAGCTCTGAAACTCTTTTCACTCCCTAGGGTATCTCCTATCATCCTAAGGCTTTAAGTATTTGCTATACCTGATGACTCCCAAATTTACATCTCTAGTTCACAATGCATTCCAGACATAAACAAAATTGCCTATTTGACCTTTCCACTCAGATGTCTAATATTCACATCCAGATGCAGATGTCCAAGAGCAAACTCTTTACTGTCTTCCCTAAATAGGACCTCCCACATCTACCCCATCTGAGTAGTTAGGATCTCCAGTATTCCAACTGCTCACGCCAAAGAGCTTGGGGTCACCAGTAATTTCTCTCTTTTTCTCCCACCCAACATGAAATATGTGACGTTGGTATGTGCTGTGCTGCGCTTAGTCACCTGCCAGTCTCTGTTCATGGGGATCCTCCAGGCAAGAATACTGGAGTTGCCATGCCCTCTTCCAGGGGATCTTCCTAATCCAGGGATCGAACCCAGGTCTCCCACACTGCAGGCAGATTTTTTTTTACCATCTGAGCCACCAGGGAAGCCCATGACCTTGGTATGGTGGTGGCTTAGTCACTAAGTCATGTCCAACTCTTGCGACCCCATGGGCTCTATAGCCCGCGAGACTCCTCTGTCTGTGGGATTCTCCAGGTAAGAATACTGGAGTGGGTTGCCATTTCCTTCTCCAGGGGATCTTTCCAACCCAGGGATCGAACCCAGGTCTCCTGCATTGCAGGCAGATTCTTTACCAACTGAGCTACAAGGGAAGCCCCAAGGGAAGACCTTGGTATAGGGCTCCAAAAAACCCATTATCAAATCATGTTTGTTCCACTTTCAAAAGACATCCTTTAATTACAGACTCATTTCTGATGTGATTGTAATATGTGTTCCTAAAATAAACAAGGGAATCTGTATTTCACAAAAATGCTCACTAAAAATAATGCAGCTTATGGAAAAATGTTGGCTTGGAGCACTCAAAACCTTTATCATTGCATAATTAATGCTATAAAAACACTGAGAATCCTAATTATATCAGTTCATTAAAGAGATATGTCAAATTCCTAAAAAAATTAAGGGAATACTATAGCAAATATAAGTAAACAATATAAAGAAATAGAGGAAAATAGAATGGGAAAGACTAGAGACCTCTTCAAGAAAATTAGAGATACCAAGGGAACATTTCATGCAAAGATGGGCAAAACAAAGGACAGAAATGGTATGGACCTAACAGAAACAGAAGATATTAAGAGGAGGTGGCAAGAATACACAGAAGAACTATACAAAAAGGTCTTAATGACCCAGATAACCACGATGGTGTGATCACTCACCTAGAGCCAGACATTCTGGAATGTGAAGTCAAGTGGGCCTTAGGAAGCATCACTACGAACAAAGCTAGTAATGGTGACAGAATGCCAAATGAGCTGTTTCAAATCCTAAAAAATGATGCTGTTAGGGCGCTGCACTCAATATGCCAGCAAATTTGGAAAACTCAGCAGTGGCCACAGGAATGGAAAAAAGCCAGTTTTCATTCCAATGCCAAAGAAAGGCAACATCAAAGACTGTTCAAACTATAGCACAATTGCACTCATTTCACATGCTAGCAAAGTAATGCTCAAAATCCTTCAAGCTAGGCTTCAACAGTACATGAACCAAGAACTTCCAGATGTATACTCTGGATTGAGGAAAGGCAGAGGAACCAGAGATCAAATTGCCAACATCCGTTCGATCATAGAAAAAGCAAGAGAATTCCAGAAAAACATCTACTTCGCTTCAATGACTATGCTAAAGTCTCTGACTGCGTGGATCACAACAAACTGTGGAAAATTCTTAAACAGATGGGAATACCAAACCACCTTACCTGCCTCTGAAAAACCTGTATGCAGGTCAAGAAGCAACAGTTAGAACTGGACATGGGAAAATGGAGGGGAGGAGCCAAGATGGCGGAGGAATAAGACAGGGAGACTACTTTCTCTCCTACAAATTCATCTAAAGACCATTTGAATGCTGAGCAAATTGCACAAAACAACTTCTGATCGCTAGCAGAGGACATCAGGCGCCCAGAAAAGCAGCCCATTGTCTTCGAAGGGAGGTAGGACAAAATATAAAAGATAAAAAGGGAGTCAAAAGAGCTACGGACGGAGACCCGTCCCGGGAAGGGAGTCTTAATAGAGGAAGTTTCCAATCACCAGGAAACCCTCGCACTGGCGGGACTGGGGGAAGTTTTCGGCAATCTAACTGGGAGGAAAAATTAAACAAGGCCCACAGATTACGTGCCTAAAAGCAACTCCCAGCAGAAAAGTACCCCAGACGCCTGTACCCGCCAGCAACAAGCGGGGGCGGGACGGAGAGGAGCGGGCGGCGTTGCTTAGGGCCCAAACACACTGCCGGCGGTTCGCAAAACAAAGGGACTGAGAAAGTCCAGAGAAGAGCCGGCCCATCCCCGCTGGAGGTTGGAGGCAGGGGGTAGGGGAAAAGGGCAAACTCAGCCCCTGAGAAGCCACCCCCTCCCACACTGCAAACAGGCCCCCGGTTCCTATCTAAAGACTTCCTGAGACCCGACTGGCGGCGCGCGCTGGGGCCGCGGAGGGAAAAAGCGCGCCGTACCCGGGGAG